CAAGAGCTCAAGATCAGCCTGGCCAAACATGGCAAAACTCCTTCTCTACTAAGAAAAAAAAAACAAATAGAAAAATTAGCTGGGCGTGGTGGCGCACCCCTGTAATTCCAGCTACTCAGGAGGCTGAGACAGGAGAATTGCTTGAACCCGGGAGGCAAAGGTTGCAGTGAACGGAGGTGGTGCCACTGCCCCTCAGCCTAGTGATAGAAACTGTTTAAATAAAAATAAAAATTAAAAAAGCACAGAGTATATATGTTTCAAAGACTATTACCTAAGTTACAAGTTAAAAGCATCCCAACTCATTAAGTTTAAAAAACAACTTAAGATAGGCTGGGCACGGTGGCTCACGCCTATAATCACAGCACTTTGGGAGGCCGAGGTGGGCGGATCACGAGGTCAGGAGATCGAGACCATCCTGGCTAACACAGTGAAACCCCGTCTCTACTAAAAATACAAAAAATTAGCCAGGCATGGTGGCGGGCGCCTGTGGTACCAGCTACTCGGGAGGCTGAGGCAGGAGAATGGCGTGAACCCAGGAGGTGGAGCTTGCAGTGAGCCAAGATCGTGCCACTGCACTCCAGCCTGGGCGACAGAGCAAGACTCCGTCTCACACACAAAAAAAACCCAAAAAACCAAAAAACCAAAACCACATAAATGCAGAAATTAAAACTTTATTTCTGTATATCACTATGGTAAAGGGTTGTTGGTTCCCCGTACCATCAATCCACAAAAGGTATAAAACTTCATGTATTATTATTGTAACCTTGTGCGGATACCAGAGTACCTTTAAAATTCCTCCCAAATTTAGTTCCAAGAGGCAGATGGAGAGTTTGGACTGTCACCCAAAATCTAAAAGGGCCCTTGTTTTGACAGTTAGGTTTACACATGTGGTACATATTGAGGGGCACATAATCACTGGTAGATTGGAAATGCATACCTATCCTTGTTCCTTCCCTAACTAAAAAAGCATTTAAAAGGAGTGAAACTCACCAGGATGGAGAAATCGAGATTAAAAAAAAATGAAAGCTGGAAAATGGACAGATTAGTTTATAATTTAGCAGCTTCAGGAAATGGAATCCCAAGGCCAACAGAACGGACAACAAAAAACTCAGAAATTCAAAAAACAAAACAAAACAAAACAAAACAAAAAAGCAGGAGTTGGCAGCAGTCCAAATCCCTGGAGGTGGGGGCAAAATAAGGATTGTTTAACCACTCAAATCCCAGATCCTTTTCTCTACACTGCAGAGTTGGACAAGAGTCCGCTCTCATTTGTTCATTCTCTAGAAAAGGTAGCCCAGTCTCTGGGATGGCAGGGGTGTGTTACACTGAAAGCAGAGGCCCAACCCTTACCATGCTGGGTTCTAGAATGCTGGTAGACAGCCTATCACCCTTCAGGCACGAGATACAAATTGAGAATCAGCCAAGACCTTGACATAATGGCATAAGAAGTTCCCTAACTAATCAGCTGGGACAGATCATTTTTTTCAGTCGACAAACTCTACTCATGCACTTGGAGCTGCCTAGTGGCTCTTTAGTCCCCACTCAGATACAGGGAATGCTTGGAATTGTAAGAGTTACAGATTATAAAACAAGACAATTTAGGCAGGGCACAGTGGCTCACGTCTGTAATCTCAGCACTTTCAGAGGGCAAGGCAGGCGGATCACCTGAGGTCAGGAGTTTGAGACCAGCCTGGTCAACATGGTGAAACCCTGTTTCTAATAACACAAAAATCAGACGGGCATAGTGGTGGTGCACTTGTAATCCCAGCTACTCCGGAGGCTGAGGCACGAGAATCGCTTGAACCTGAGAGGCAGAGGTTACACTGAGCTGAGAGTGACACTCTGTCTCGAAACAAAAACAAAAACCAGACAATTTAGAATGTCCAGAGCTGGAGGAAAGAGGACCGAGGTGATGAGGGAAAAAGTAACATTCTTAGCGATAAAACATTGCTGCAACCTTAGCTCGGAAGTTTAAAATTGCCTAAGTGGAAGACAGAAGGCTTAGAATAGGGCTGAGAACCCTCCACCCCGCCATACCTGCTGAAAGTAGAGCAATTTGAGAAACATAAAATAGAAAATAGATGGGAGAAAACCAATAAACTCACAGAACTAAAATTTTTTTTTTTTGAGATGGAGTCTCGCTCTGTCGCCCAGGCTGGAGCGCAGTGTCGCGATCTCAGCTCACTGCAAGCTCCGCCTCCCGGGTTCACGCCATTCTCCTGCCTCAGCCTCCCGAGTAGCTGGGACTACAGGCGCCCGCCACCACGCCCGGCTAATTTTTTTATATTTTTAGTAGAGACGGGGTTTCACCGTGTTAGCCGAGATGGTCTCGATTTCCTGACCTCGTGATCTGCCTGTCTCTGCCTCCCAAAGTGCTGGAATTACAGGCATGAGCCACCGTGCCTGGCCTAGAACTAAAATTCTTAAACTTCAGCCAAGCGTCCCCTCCTCTGCATACTGCTGCTAAAAACAATGGGGACAAAGTTGTAGGCACAGGTGCACACCAGATGAAGTTGGGCACCATTATTTACAAATAAAGGTTAGCTGGACTCTGGAGTTAAAAGTAATCTAAATAAGATATTGCGATATCTTTAAAACATCTACACAACCCTATTTAACTCTTTAATTGCCCATACCTGATCCAGTGCTAATCTTCTCAGGCCATCGACAAATCAACTGCAAAGGGTTGACAGACGTAAGCAGTATCATCATAGAATCAGGGTTTGAAAGATCACTTAACAATGGAATTGCTTTTAAAGCTGATGACAATTACATACATAGGTTAAGGAATTTAGGAGTATGAAAGATGTTCTTTTTCTCTCCATTTAGTACCCCAAGACCACAACATGGAGCATGTTGTGTAGATTAAGCTTTCTACGAATTGCCATTAAAAAAAAACTTTTTATAGTCTATTTCCAATAAATAAAACAAAATCTTCAGCTGTGTAACACTAAAGTCACATTGCCTTTTGAATCTAGGTGGTTTGTGTTCCTGTATCTATACTCCTTTCTGGGTGAAGACATGCACTATGATTTAAAAGATACGTGTAGTACAGGCCATCTGTACGCAAAGAGAAAAGTTTCTCGGGATGTCTGAGTAGGAACTGAGACTTTTCAGGTTAGCTTCAACTTAATGCAAATACCAGTCAAGACCAAAACTAGTTCGTTTGTTGTTCCTAGGCCAGGTTTATCCTCATTATGAAAGCCTACTTCTGTAATTACTTGCACCACACCTTTTTCCTCTCAGGATGAATGCGATTCATAGGATTTACTCACAACTCAAATGTAGAAGACTAATTTTTGTTTTATATTTTGATTCCTGCCGATTTAAGTTTCTACTATTACTTTTTTTTTGAGATGGAGTCTCGGTCTGTCACCCAGGCTGGAGTGCAGTGGTGCAATCTCCACTCACTATAACTTCTGCCTCCCAGGTTCAAGCAATTCTCCTGCTTCAGCCTTGAGTAGCTGGCACAGGTGCGCGCCACCATGACTGGCTATTTTTTGTATTTTTAGTAGAGATGGCGTTTCACTATGTTGGCCAGGCTGGTCTCGAACTCCTGACCTCAGGTGATCCGCCTGCCTCAGCCTCCCAAAGTGTTGGGATTACAGGTGTGAGCCATTGTGCCCGGCCTGTGCTTTTAGATAATACTATAAGGTTACATTAAAATTAAATCAACTAACAGGCAGCAAAACAAAACCTTCCTCTGACGCCCAACCAAAAGTCCAGCTTATAAAGACAAAGGAGAATGGTCAAGTACGTGCTAAAGAGACGTTAATACCAAGCTATCAACCACTGGCACTATCTGCCATTTGCATCCATGTGCCAGGCACTTTTAAGGCCTGGTAAGGTTAAGTTCTAGTGTCTTCATCCTACAGGCAGGAAACCAAGGCCCAGAGCAACTTGTCCAAATCAGTATCATATAACAGGTAATAAGGGTTGTTTACTGAGCTCCGTGTGCCAGCCAGTTCTAAACACCTTACAACTGTTACATCCTTATAACCTTATGAAGCTGCTATTTTTATTACCATCCTTTTTTTTCTTTTCTTATTAGAGATATGGTCTGTCTTTGTTGCCCAGACTGGAGTGCAGTGGTACGATCGTGGCTCACTGCAGCCTCCACCTCCTGGGCCCAAGCGATCCTCCCACCTTGGCCTTTTGAGTAGCTGGGACTACAGGCACTTATCACACCCAGCTAATTAAAAAAATTTTTTTTGGAGAGACGGGTCTCCCTTCGTTGCCAAGGCTGGTCTCGAACTCCTGAGCTCAAGTAATCCTCTCACCTCGACCTTTCAAAGTGCTGGGATTTACAAGCATAAACCACTGTGCCTGGCCTTACCATGATTTTCCATCTGGGAAAACTGAAGTACAAAAGGGTTAAGTGACTAGCCTATGTCCATACAGACAGTAAATGGCAGAGGCAGGATTTGAGTCAAGCAGACTGGGGCAAGGTCTACACCTTTAACTACCACCCTATACTAGTGTATTGCCTGAATAATGAAGTAAATCTTTAAAGTTACTCCCCAAAATATTAAGTCACCCAGTTAACTAAAGTGTTCAAAGAACGAAGAGATGCTTTTCATTTCAGCAGAGTTCAGAAGACTTCTTAAGGCCAAGACAGGTTAGCAAACTAAAATATATACTCTAAAAAACAAGAAAAAAGGAATTAAGCAATGTGTGGCTTCTCTAACCCAGTATTTCCATTTAATGGTATTAATGCCCATGTTTACTTAGAATAAATCTAACTTAATTTGTCAATCTATTCATTTAGTTCAAGTTTAAAATTATTAAGAGGCTAGTGAACTGAAGTATCTAGAAAAGGTTGTCCTGGAAACAGTGCTCACATATATACTGGACTTTATCAAAATTTCATTGTTCTATACATAACTCCCAGCATTTTTTAGCAGAATCAATTTACTTTCTAATAAAGCAAGATTGTTAATATACATAAAGCTCATATGTAAAATTTTACCTCTATTTCAGATAGAAGCCAAAGCAAAACATGAGGAATAAAAACATTTATCTATGTATTCAGAATCACACACAAGTTACCTTTACAGTTCAATTTACTATATAGAAATCACTGGGCTTTATATTTTCAGTTAACTTTTGAACTGAGATTACAATATTATAACAAAAAAATTTACATTAATTCAGAACTTTTTAGCATACCAAATTGAAATACATAGGTTCAAATTTCAGATTTATGGCAAACAGTCTTCAAATACAATACAGACATTTCTTAAAAGTTACCATATCATTCACATGTGATATTTGCAACTCTGAACTGTTTCATATAGAACAGCTCTCCTGCAGATATGGCAAAGTTGATATGCCATGAAGTTCAAGGCCTGTATAGTCAGGCCGAGGACTCAAAGTTGCACCATCTTTAAAAGGTTTGGCATTTCTGGACCACAACAATGCACAACATGTAAAGAAGGTAGGAAGCAGTCCCCCCTCCTTGTTAAACGGTTAAAAAAAAGTTACATGGTAGCTTGGAATTTTGCATAAAACCCCATAATATACCTTGAAAAAGTCCAAGGGCAATTTGATGGCAATGGATTGGGGTCCTATACATATTTTTAATAGAACCCATGAGAGTCAAATGGGCATTAATCAAATCAAAAAAATATTAAGCACCTACTGGTTCAAGAGATTTAAATTTATTAGAGATTCATGATCAATTTCTTTTCACCTCGAAATCAAGGTGTAAAAACCAGCTATTAAGTGCATTCCAAACTTCTATGTAGCACAGGTAGAATTTTCTGTCCATTGGCACCAAAGTGAAGTCACATTTCCTCTTGGGAGACAGAAATTCCACACCTGAACATAGAGTAAGTTAGGAAAAAATGACCCCTGTTGTTTATTACTATTGTGATTCTGAGATCTAGGATTTCTAATATACTAGCAGTAAACAAAGCAAATTCCTGGCAACAACTGTCAGGTTAGTGATGCTAACTCCCTTCCCCCAACCACCATAAAGTTTTAGTAAGAAAAGAATCAAAAGTAATGACTAAGCAGAACAAATTGGAAATAACAAGAAACTAAGGTGACAGTTCAAACCAACAACAAAAAATCCTACATTTGAAATAACTGCAACTGAAGATAGTAAGTGTGCTTCACCCCAACCCCCATCCCAACTCTGAATTTAAACATTCCGTGCAAAAGAGCAACAGGTTTCTGGATAAAGATGTAGCCCTTCTTAAGTTTTAGTGCTCTGCAGTTTTCTGCAATTTTATTTCCCTCCCCCCAAGTTTATTCAAAGTATTTAACAGAATCTTCCATTTCAGCCAAAAGATTGTGATTCAAAGATTTACTAAGGTACTCTATGCATTCTATCTATACAGAAACACCTATTTATTATTACAATTGATTTATGCAGGATTAACATTTTTGGTGTTAAAATTGTTAAACATCATGCTTACTGCACATCAACTCTCCATAATGAATCTGAACTTCACAATGATTTACCAAACACTTTACTTAAATTACTAATTAAATAACTGAAAAATGCACTGAGCCAAACAAAACTTAACTGGGCTATAAAGAAAAAAACCCTTCAAAACAGTCCATATACACATCTATTTCAAAACTACCTTTGCTAGCTAGCCCCTTTCCCAAAGTTTTAGCCTGAAAGAACAGTAAAATCTACACAAAATTTTATTGCAATCATACAAGGGTTACATTAGGTCAACAAATACTATGATGCAATTTTACATTTATTAAACTACAGTTCAAAGCACAAATTTACACATTCTAAATACACTAAACGTTATCTAATGAAGTCACACTGGTCTTCCGCTAACATTTGATATATCTGGGTGAAAGACATGAACTTTACAAGACTTTAAACACAAATCCTTAGTATAAAAACTGTGTTCTTGTATGTAAACGATTTAATGGGGAACCCAATTAATGGGCTTCCATCTCCACTAAGTCATCCATTTTGTTGCATATTTTATTTTAAACGCTTAAGGGGTAGGACAAACTGGTAGGTTTAAATCTGGACACATTATCTAAATCTCCCATTATCCCCAATGAATTATAGATGAAAGCTGTTTTTGTCTGGTCCCAAATAGCTATTACTAATAGTTTTTGTTGCCAAAAGAATTAAGAGAATAAGATTGTTTAAATTATTTTTCCACACTGGAATGTTGACCAGACAAGCTTAACCTGCAACTTCAGATCTAAAGAAGCGTTAATGCCTGTTTAAGCTTCAGCGGAAAAGCTGTCTTCTTGGCTCAGCTGAATGCAAGAAGGCACAAAGAAGAAGTTCTTCATCATTGAGTCTGAAGTAATTCCGGCATCTTGCATTTCATACCTAAATAGAAAAAATTCAGTTAAATTCTGAATTTAAGCCCAAAGACCATGTAATCACCTAACAAATGGATAATAAAATAGGACTATAACTAGTCTTCCAAATACCTTTAAAAGATCATCATTTTTTCTATTATAGCCATGCACTGCAGAGTGATGTTTTGGTCAGACTACACATATGACTGTGGTATACCCGTAAGATTACAGTGAAGTTTAAAAATTCCTATCACAATCGTGTCATAGCACAATGTATTATCCTTTCTATGTTTTAAGTATCTTAAGATACACAAATGCCACTGCATTACAACTGCCAACAGTATTAAACAGAGTAACATGCTGTATAGGTTTGCAGCCTAGGAGCAATATACCATATAGCCTAGATTATGTAGTAGATTATGCCATCATAAAATCACCTAATGTTCCATTTGTCAGAACAAATTCCCATCATTAAGCAACTACACTGTACAGGCAATACGTGACTGTACTTCTAAGTTTAGCATTCATCACAGAATTAAAACTTATTAGCAAGTCTACAAGGACAGTTCAAATATCCCACCTGCCTTAAAATAAAATCACCTTACCAATCACTGAATGACATCATGTAATAAATGGCTGGCCTCTGAAAATCATTAAAAGCAGAAGGTTCATGGAAAGAATCTGCTCCCATGTTATCAAAGATAAGCCAATCTCCCACATTCAGCTCAGGAAGAAGACAGCTTTCCACAATTTGATCAAGCTCATCACAGGATGGACCCCAAAGGCTGCTTGTAAACAGAGGCTCATCTTCCTTGTATTTCTGTAGGAAAAGTTTTACAATTTTTACTCATGCAGGTATTGAATTTGTGAGTAGATAAGTATTTTTCACTGTCTCAGATCCAATGTGTTCATGGAAAAAAGGCCTAGAGCCAAGGGCAGGGTGCTCCTTAAGCCTCAATGGTACAATTAACTCCACGTAAAGGCAACAAACTAAAAAAGGGACTCCACCAGAAGAACGCAAATCCTCAAAAGGGGCATTTTTCCCCATTCTAAAATGTTTTTCAAAAAATTGGGAAGCATCTTAAAAATAACAGCTCAGTTTATAAAATGCCAAATAGGCTTTAATATTTCTGATAAAACTTGCCTTGTGAACCTCTGGAATGGTATTTAAGTCCTCAGACAGTTTACTTGCAAAAGAACCATAAACACCATCATTCATATAATACATGAAGGCTGGTTCATCACTTCCGGTTTTTTCTACTGGAATAAAACAGGAAAGGGGAAAATGAATTTTTATTAAAATGGCTCATATAAAACAAATAAATGTAATTTTCACATTTCTCAAACTATTTAAACTTAAAAAGACACACAGCACTCATTTCACAAAGGAAGATAACCAATGAGCACAAGAAAAAAGTGCTCTAGGGCAGGATGCGACGGCTCATGCCTGTAAAATTCTAGCACTTTGTGAGGCTGAGGTGGGCAGATCACTTGAGGTCAGGAGTTCAAGATCAGCTTGAACAACATGGCAAAACCCCATCTTACTAAAAATAGAAAAATTAGCCAGGTGTGGTGGTGCATGCCTGTAATCACAGCTACTGGGGAGGCTGGGGCACTAGAATCCCTTGAATCTGGGAGGCAGAGGTTACAGTGAGACAGTGAGCCAAGATTGCGCTAGTGCACTTCAGCCTGGGTGACAGAATGAGACCCTGTCTCAAAAAAAAAAAAGTATTAAGATTCTTGAAGCCTTTCTGATAGTTGCTGTTTCAAAAAAAGAGGAAAAAGATCAAGCAGCAAGGAAAAACACTTTTTAGTTTCTTTTCAAATCAGCAAGAGGAAGGCAATATATGCACAAGTAATTAAATATGTGTTTGAATGTGGAATTAAAAATAAAAGTTGAGATTGTACCACTCACTCCAGCCTGGATGACAGGGCAAAAACCCTGTCTCAAAAAAAAAAAAAAAAGAAAAAGAAAAAGAAAATAGTGCTGTATATCATTAGTCATCAGGTAAATGCAAATTAAAACCACAATGGGATACCATTACCACCAACCTACTGACTGGATCAACTTAAAGACTGACAATACAAAATATCAAAGAGCATGAGGAGCAACCAGAGTTCACATGTATACACTGCTAGGGGGAATCTGTGTGTGTGTGTGTGTGTGTTGAGACAGGGTCTCACTGTTACTCAGGCTAGAGTGCAGTGGTGTGATCACAGCTCACCGCAGGTTTGAGCTTCAGGAATCAAGAGATCCTCTCACCTCACTCTGAAACCTTTGAAAACACCCATTCTACTCACAGCTACTCTACTCTTAGCACAACCAATACTCATTTTCAGGTTTATCACTCTCCACAAGAAACAAACCAAGGCTCCTTGGAGAAACAACTGATTACAGGACTGAGGCAGAAAAAGGTTAAAATGAGCCTGGAACATCTTGATATACCAAAAAATAAAGAAGTGCTCAGAGAATAACGGAGACATGTCAAGGGAAAAATGAGAGTAATAGATTATATAAACCTAATGAATAAAGATCGGTCTAAACTCATAAATAAACAGGAAGGAAGGAAAAGATATTCTTTAAGTAAAGGCGAACTAATATAAACAATAATGAAGTTAGAAATTCATCAATAGATGCTAAAACTAATGGGGTGAAAATCTGGTTAGAAACAGGTAGTTTATTTACAGTCTCTAATTAACTTGCCACTTCACAATGGAGAGAAACCTGCCTGACACAACCTTAAACAAGTGCTCAAAACTAGCATTTAAATAAAAAAAAAAAAAAATAGCTGGGCGTGGTGGCACGCGCCTGTAATCCCAGCTACTTGGGAGGCTGAGGCAGGAGAATCGCTTGAGAAAGGCAGGAGGAGGCAGAGGTTGCAGTGAGCCAAGATCATGCCACTGCATTCCAGCCTGGGCAACAAGAGCAAAACTCTCTCTCAAAAAAAAAAAAAAATCACTAGGCCAGGTGTATTGGCTCAAGCTTGTAATCCCAGCACTTTGGGAGGCTGAGGCAGGTGGATCACTTGAGTTCAGGGGTTTGAGATCAGCCTGGGAAACACGACGAAACCCTCTACAAAATAAAAATAGAAAAAAACCTAGCCAGGCATGGTGGCATAGGCCTGTAGTCCCAGCTATGCAACAGGCTGAAGGTGGGAGGACTGCTTAAGCCAGGAGATTGAGACTGCAATGAGCCCTGATGGAGCCACTGTACTCCAGCCTGGGTGACAACACAAGAAAAAACACCTACCATCATCAATATTAGAACAGACCACTATCATGTGCCTCCTAACATGATGAAGTGAGAATAATAGACTAACACTTCAGTGGACTTCATGCCCCAAATGCATAGCCTAAAAAATATAATCACGGCTGGGCACGGTGGCTCACACCTGTAATCCCAGCACTTTGGGAGACCGAGGCGGGTGGATCATGAAGTCAGGGGATCGAGACCGTCCTGGCTAACAGGGTGAAACCCTGTCTCTACTAAAAATACAAAAAAATTTGCCGGGGATGGTGGCAGGTGCCTGTAGTCCCAGCCACTCCGGAGACTGAGGCAGGAGAACGGCGTGAACCCAGGAGGCAGAGCTTGCAATGAGCCGAGATCATGCCACTGCACTCCAGCCTGGGAGACAGAGCGAGACTCCATCTCAAAAAAAAAAATATATATATATATATATATATATATATATATATAATCATGAGGAATCATCAAACAAACCCAAATTAAGGATCAGCTATGAAATTTCTACTCTTCGAAAATGTCAAAGTTAAAAAATACAAAGTAATGAGCTGAGAAGCTATCCAGATTCAAGGAGAAATGACAAATTCAATGTGGTCCTGGACTGGATTCTAAACAAGGAAAAACAGAGCTGTAAAATAAGACAATATTGGGGAAATGGACAATTTTTCTATGGGATGTGGATTAGTCCACAGCCAAAAAAAAAAAAAAAGGCTTGTTAATGTAACACAGTATTTCCTACAATAATATTAGCCAACGAGATGGGACTGTCTAGTGCCTTTTTGTTGGTTTGACTTGAGTTAGATTACAAGGACACCTTGTGGCCCTTAAGTAAGAAAGTATGAAAACAGAGCCTCCCTGTGATCCATGTGAGAAAAGGAGAACAGAAGAGAATAATGGATGAGAATTAATCATCTGGTAGACATTTATCGAAAACACACATATCTAAACATCAGTACCAAGAAAGTTGGATTTGGAAGTCTTATGGAACAGGATCTTGGCTTTAAGATTTTTTTTTTTTGTTTGTTTGAGACAGAGTCTCGCTCTTGTAGCCCAGGCTGGAGTCCAGTGGCATGATCTTGGGTCACCGCAACCTCCGCCTCCCAGATTCAAGTGATTCTTCTGCCTCAGCCTCCTGAGTAGCTGGGATTACAGGGGTGTGCCACCACGCCCAGCTAAGTTTTGTATTTTTAGTAGAGATGGGGTTTCCACCATACTGGCCAGGCTGGTCTCGAACTTCTGACCTCGTGATCCACACAGCTCGGCCTCCCAAAGTGCTGGGATTTTAGACATGAGCCACCATGCCCGGCCAGCTTTAAGATTTTTAAAAGCTGAAAACCACCTACAACTTCATGACCATCTGTTCATTTCCAGACTAACTGCAATTATCTACCAACAAAAATAAAACTATAAACTTCATAACTTACCTCCAGAGGGAAATTTATCATTTTCAACAACTTTCTTTGCTATGATATTAACTGCAAGTGTAAATGCAGAAGACACATAGTAGCTTCCGGGTTCTGAAATTATCTTAACACCAGATCCTTCAGGAAAGTAGATATCCAACAGAGGGCTGATAACATGATTAACCTGTGGATTTTAAATGCCACATTATGGTTTCAATATTGGATCAGATAATTCGCAATATTCAGAAACTGATATTAACAAAATCTTCTAGGAAAATGGAGCAGTTCCAATCACAGACTATGAACCTTAGCAACTTCGTAATTATCTCCAAGCAACTAATTAGGCATGCTTTCAAGTCAATTTATTTTGTAACTATCAGAATGGCATTAATTTTAAAAATAGAGAGCGCTAATAACAAATACCTACTGGTATTTGTTTTTTTTTTTTTTTAAGTCATTTTTCTATACTTGATCACTAAAAACAGAAGCAAAATTTTCAAATCATAGTTTCTAGATATTGCAGAAGGAAGGAAGGAGGGCAGAGCAGGAAGGTGAGAAAACAGGTGTGACGTGCATCTGGCCTAAGTGCTAAAGTTGGCTGGGAGTGGTGGCTCACGCCTGTAACCCCAAAACTTTGGGAGGCTGGGGCAGGAGGATCACTTGAGGCCAGGAGTTCCAAGACCAGCTTGGGCAATATAGAAAGACTTTTTTTTTTTTTAAGTCCCAGCTGCTTGGGAGGCTGAGGCAGGAGGATCACTTGAGCCCAGGAGTTGGAGGCTGCAGTGAGCTATAATTGCACAACTCCACTCCAGCCTGGGCAACACAGGAAGACTCTTTTTAAAACAAAACAAAAAAGGTAGTAGTGAAGTTTTCTAAGTATTACATCATTTGTGCCATTAAGTATAGAAACACAACTGAAATAGAAAATGTTTCATGATAATGTTCAAAGAATTCTATCAAACTTTTCAAAGTTAGCTAGGTCTACTAACTACCATTAAGTATCCACATTTTCTAAGAATAAAATTTTAAAGAGACATTACAGGGTTTACTTTCTGCCATTGTAAAAATCCTGCTCTACACATCCACCACTTAAGTAGCAAAGAAAGCAATTATTCTGTTATGTCATCTACTGAAAAGTTTACCTCTTCTAATTGAAATTCAGTTCCCGTGAATCCTCCACCAATGTCTAACATGTTCATCGTAAAGCCAATTTCTCCCTATGGATGGAAAAAAAATTATTTAAATGCTTTTCCAAATTGTAATGGATATGAGAACATTTTAAAAACCCCCTCCTAGGGAGGTAAATATCTGTTCTGATCTTTAATACAGCAAGTTCTTGGTTTTTTACTGATAGAAACAGATTGATTCAATATTAGGTATGCTCTTTGCTTTTATTTGTACTCTCTTCTAGACTTATGCAAGTCAATTACTATTTCACTCCTTTACCCGCTTAAAAGGTGTGACTGTATAGAGCTCTGAATGCTTATGTAATAAAAATGAGGTGTGTGACGTTGAATGTAGTCAGAGTAATTCACACAGGCAGAAAACAATACTTAGTCTTTAACTTAACATCCTGGCTAAAATATCAAAATAATTTAAAGAAAGAACTTACAGCCATGTCAAACACACATCGAGCATCAGATAGAGCATGTACGTATACTTGAGATTCTTTGCAAGCACTCGAAACATGAAATCTGAAACACACAGAATAATAACTTTAAAGGAGCAGAAAGTTTTAGAGACACCTCCTGTAATTTCTTTCAACTGTCATTCATCATATTCATACCATTAAGTATCCACATTAACTTTACCAAATACTTAAACCATTAGAAGCATCAGCCTCTAATTAACCAAAAGTTACAGTACCAGCTTTTTAGAAAAGGCAATGCCAAGATAAAACTGTAATTCTATAAACAAAAATTCTTAACAATAAGTCAATTATCAGTACTGTTGCAGTTATACAATAAGGTGTGCTTTTATGTATATGTGGTGCTTTTATGTTTATATAGTGAAGTAACAAGCAGTACCAAATCGTATCACATTCAGCTGAGCATAAAATTGAACATTCAGTTTTACCCAACCAAATACAAAAATGTGTCTGTTGTGAAATAAATATAAAGGAACATTAATCAAGTTGAGTAACAGTATTACTATTATTCACTAGTATTAGTAAAGTTCCAGAATAGAATACTTCCTGATTGTGGCAGTGGTTACACAAGTACTAAAATCCATAGAACTGTACACCATAAAGCAAATTTTTCTTTTCCCTTTATCTACTCGAGATAGTACTTCATTAATTTTTATGTTTTTTGTATTTTTTGGTAGAGACGGGGTTTCACCAGGTTAGCCAGGATGGTCTCGATCTCCTGACCTCAACTTAAATTAAAACTTAGTTGAAATATGAACAAAACTCTCAAATGTGTCAATATTGTCACCTAAGGCAGAATTCAAACTAGACTGACATGGAATGTTGTCTATTGTGTAGGGCACAGCACGATCCAATTCTTCGTTTAAAAGACTACCACCTATTTATGTACAAAGTAGAATAGAAAGTTACACAGTAAGGTCAGGCACAGAGGCTCACACCTGTAATCCCAGCACTTTGGGAGGCTAAGTCGGGAAGACTGCTTGAGCCAGGAGTTTGAGGTTGCAGTGAGCCATGATCATGCCACTGAACTCCAGCATGGGAGATATAATGAGATACTATCTCAAAAACTAAATAATAAAATTAAAGATACACAATAAACTATTAACAGTGGGGACTCTATACATCTTTGTGAGTGTTTGAAAAAGCAAGACTTTTTTACTTTAGTAAGAATAGCAATGGACTGGCAAACAACATCTAGGGCTTAGTGTTACTATGTCTGTAATTAGTTCTGAGGATATAATCAAGTCTTTGAACCTCTTGGAGTCTCGGTTTCCTCACATATAAAATTAAAAGCCTGAAGCAAAGTCTAATTTATTGAAATTCCCCAGAGGAATTAAAAGGAGGAAAAGGCCTGACACTTTTATTTTTGTTAAGAATTCTAGCAAATCTCCTCCCATCCAATTTAAAAGGTGGCGATTTAAGTTACTCTGCACTAACCCGAATCAAAATATTATTTGCTATTTTTTTTATTGTGGGGAAGGAGGTACAGTTGCAAAACAGTATGAAAAGGGATAAGGCATATTTGTTTTGCCTAAACTAAGAAGAAAACACATACATGTGTGTTAAAAGACTAGAAAAAAACTGCGTCTTAGATTTCATGCAAAGAAAGTCTTAAATCAATAACCAGAAAGACAGGCTATCACCGTAAAATGTTCACAGTTTTACAAGTTTAAAACAAATACTCACTTAACCCCAATTATTTGGACATCAAGTTCCTTAGCACATTCCAAGAGATGCTTACAGTTCTTCAGGGTAGTGCCAAACTTCATGTTACCCTCTTCACCTCCAATATTATCTTCTGTTGCAATATGTAGTAAAACCCTAAGAGAAGGGGAGATGATTGGGGCAGAGTTGGTTTACATCATCATCAGCACATGTGAAGCCTGAAGATTGTAGGAAGTGTGTTGATTATGTTGCCAGTGCTCCCAAATCCAGCGACGGATGAATCAAGTGAACCTAATGAAAAACAATCCTGTATAGAGAAAAAACTAGCAATTAGGGCCTAAAGCATGAAGCTTACAAGGATGGGATTTTGGAAAATGCAGCAAGTTAAGACTCTGTTGTAGCATCAAGAGTTGGTTGGGCTCTGTAATGAAAGACGACATTACTTTCAAATGAAGTCCATCAGTCCATAAATCCGCCTAGGAAAACTAAATTGAATAGCAATGCCATCATTGTCTTTCAATAAAAATATCAGGGCTTTAAATGTCTTCAAATTTCTTTGATTGTGCTAACTAGCTAAACCTCCATGCTTACTGCAAACATTCTTCCTACTAACATAGTTACATGCCAGCAGGTTTCTAACTGGAAAAAAATAGGTGTCTTTTTTGTCCGAGATGGAGTCTCGCTCTGTTGCCCAGGCTGGAGTGCAGTAGCGCAATTTCGGCTCACTGCAACTTCTGCCTCATGAGAGTGCCTCCTGAGTTCAAGCAATTCTCCTGCCTCAGCCTCCCAAAGTAGCTGGAAATACAAGAGTGCACCACCACGCCCAGCTAATTTTTTTTAATTTTTAGTGGAGACGGGGTTTCACCATGTTGGCCAGGCTGGTCTCCTGACTGCAAGTGATCCACCCGCCTCGGCCTCCCAGGATCAAAGTGCTGGGATTACAGGCGTGAGCCACTGTAAGCTCCGCCTCCCAGGTTCACGCCATTCTCCTGCTTCAGCCTCCCGAGTAGCTGGGACTACAGGCGCCTGCCGACTCACCCGGCTAGTTTTTTGTATTTTTTGGTAGAGACGGGGTTTCACCAGGTTAGCCAGGATGGTCTCGATCTCCTGACCTCGTGATCCGCCCGTCTCGGCCTCCCAAAGTGCTGGGATTACAGGCTTGAGCCACCACGCCCGGCCATAGAAAGCTTTTTAAAAAAATTATTTTATGTGTTTAAACAGCAGCCTTCTAGTCTACTGATTCAGATCTATATTTGGTATTTCCTTCCAAACCATGACAATCAAGACAAGATGACCAAGACTGATTAAATTTCTTTAATTTCAGGAGCTGAGTAATGACAAACTGCTAGAAGTTGCAAATATACAAATTCTTTTTGTATAACTCTTTTCCTATGGATGTATTAATTACATAAACTAAGAAGGTTAATAATGTGGCCATGAAAATAACAGCTATGGCCTTCATCTGGTAATTAGAGGACAAGACTGATAAAAGCAAAAATTATTCTAATGTTAGAATGAGCTCCATCAAGAAGGTGCCAGTCTACAATCTAACATACATCACAAATCACAGCTTGTCTTCACAGGATCACAGAACAAGATTTTTTAGAAAAACAAGTGGTTCCCTAAAATTTTCCCAACAAGGTTTTTATCCACACACAAAGATTTACCAGAGTAATCAATGCTATCAGGATATCTTAAGTACACCATTAAAGTCAGTATGAAAATTATGTACATACAAAGAAAACACAGATACAGTACATTTTCAGAAACATACGTAACTCATTAAAAAAGTAAGCCAACAACTGCATAATTCAATATGCTTTTAGTATATTCTTAGGCCCTCCTGATATACCAGTTTGTGAAAACCTAAATATTTGCCTTAAATCTTTTTGCTTTTAAAAAGGCAAACCTTTTTATCAGGGAGTCTTGCTCTGTTGCCCAGCCTGGAGTGCAGTGGCACGATTTTGACTCACTGCAGCCTCCGGCTCCTGGGTTCAAGGGATTCTCTTGCCTCAGCTTCCCAAGTAGCTGGGATTACAGGCGCAGGCCACCCTGACCTTAAATGATCCACTGGCCTGGGCCTCCTAAAATGCTGAGATTACAGGTGTGAGCCACTGCACCCAGCCTTAAAAAAGTAAACTTTCTTTAAAAAAAAAAAAAAAAAAATTCCTCTGGATGCATGAAGGTGCAAGTAAAAAATTTAAACTTCACGTTCAAAAAGAAAAGTATTAGCCTTAAAAACAAAACTCCCCAAATCTATGGACTAGGCTTCGAAGACACTGTCAGTAAAGACCATTTAAGAACTATGGCCTGGGGTAGATTAAACCCTCAGCTAAAAAGGAAGAAAAGCTGACCACAGTATATCCTGTTCCTAACATTACAAAACTCAGTTACAGAAATAATGAAAATATAGCCATGGCCCTAATTTGATTATCACACCAACTATCAAGGATTCCTTCAAGATTACAAAATTATATCCCCAAACTGCCCTTAATTTTTTTAATCCCAATTCCACACGAAGGATCAAAGGTAGAGAGCCAATAAAATGCTACTAGTGTTTCCCGTAGAGGACCTTTAAATTAAAGTTGTAATTATGATACACATCATTGCCCTACCACAAATGCTCCTTCTTCCCAGCTAAAAGACAAACCCAACCCTCTAAGTGGTAAGTAATATTTTCAAGTACTTAGTTTTATACTTACTTGGCATTTGGGTGATTACGTGCAATTTTCTTCAATTCAATTTCGTTGTCACATGTCATGATATTCACTCCAACTTTTGCTGCATACTTTATCTGAGACACTTGCTTGCAAGGACTTATGTAAATAATGTTTTCTGGAGATACACCCAACTCTTGCACTAAAGCCATTTCATTCTGTGAAAAGGAGGTTAAATTAAGAATAGATAATGTCACAGTTCATATTCTGAGAATGCTTCCTCTACTACTATGACCCCCACCCCTTTTAAAACCAGGGTCTTACTCTTTGTATTCCAGGCTCAAGTGCAGTGGCACAATCATAGCTCAATGCAGCCTCCATCTCTGGGGCTGCTCAAGTGATCCTCCTGCCTCAGCCTCCCAAAGTGCTATGAGTACAGGTGTGAGTCACTGTGCCTAGTCAAACCAATATTTTTATTTAAAAACATAAATAAATAAAAAGTGAGATGAGGTCTCACTGTGTTGCCTAGGCTGGTCCTAAACTCCTGGCTTAAGCAACTCTTGCCTCAGCCTCTCAAAGTAGTGGGATTACAGGTGTTAGCCATCGCTCCTGGCCTAAACATTGTTAAAAAGAAGCACCAAAGAAATCTCAGACTTTAGATATGTGCTATAGTTTGGACTAGAAGTAGCTCTAGCCTAAGAATGAGGAACAAATTAAAGTTTTCAATTAGTAAAACGTTTCAAAGGCTCATCACACTGAAACTTCCCTTTCATTGGTGCACTTTTGTAATTTTCTGGCCGGGCGCGGTAGCTCACGCCTGTAATCCCAGCACTTTGGGAGGCCAAGGCGGGTAGATCCTGAGGTCAGGAGATCGAGACCATCCTGGCTAACACGGTGAAACCCCGTCTCTACTAAAAATACAAAAAATTAGCTGGGTGTGATGGCGGGCGCCTGTAGTCCCAGCTACCCAGGAGGCTGAGGCAGGAGAAGGGTGTGAACCCAGAAGACGGAGGTTGCAGTGAGCCGAGATCACACTGCACTCCAGCCTGGGCGACAGAGCGAGACTCCATCTCAAAAAAAAAGAAAAGCTTGTAATTTTCCAACATGGGGCTGCAAATTTAAAGAATTATTTCAAAACTCCATCCAAAAGTCTAGCTTCCTTGCATCTGTTCCCTAACCACTGTAACTACATTAAGTTAAATTATTAAATGGTTCAGTTTAGTTAAAAAATGAAAAATACTTACTTTACTGGAACAAGCAAATCCAGTTCCAAGAGCTGCCAAAATCTCAAGTACAGCTGGAGCAGAGTTGCACTTCACTGTGTAGAATGGCTTTATCTGAGCCACTACATTCTGCCATTGACTGTGTTTCTTCACAATCTTTCCAAGATCTCCCACAAAAAATGCATTTTTCCCTGTCTATCATGGTTATGAAAAAAAGACAAATATGAACAAAAAAACCATTGAAAATCAAGTATCAAAACAGGAAAGAACATCTTTCCTCCACAAATATATGGGCCAAGACATATATTTACATACAGTAGTACATTTAAAGTTTGTTAACTGATTTAGTAAACATTAAAAAAGACTCTGAATACATTTGTTCCTTCTTCTATTTATTTTGCTGTGTTGTATACATGAGCATATAAAATATTCTCCCCTTTGAGATTAAAAAAAACTATTATCAATTACAGTGACAAAAGTCAAAATGAAACTCCCTTGATTTTACTTTTTGGCAGTTGAAGAAAGGAAACCTATTTTCTCCCATGCTTCCCCCACTGTTTAAAATACTTTGGCAGTTCAGGATATAATTTCCTAATACAGTAAAAAGAAATGCTAAACAAAACAAGCTATATATCAACATTAAAAGTGCACCTTAAGATAACATGGTAAAATAAGAGACCATCTTCACTGGGAAACCTTATTTTATTACTTTTTTCAGAGTTGAGGTCTTGCTCTGTAGCAGACTGGAGGGCAGTGGTGCAATCATAGCTTACTACAGCCTCCAACTCCTGGAGCTCAAGAGATCCTCCCATTAGGCCTCCCAAAGTGCTGGGATTACAGGTATGAGGCACGGTGCCCGACCAGGAAACCATTTTTAAAAAGACAAGGTTGTTAGTCTGCACATGGAGACGTCAAAATTAGATTTTAAAAGTACGTAAGTCTACCAAATATCAGATAAGCCTGAATAAGAATAATCTTCCTTAAAGTTGTGGCTATTCTAGAACTAGAAAGATGACTTATGCTTGTTGAACAGAACATATATTACTCAATGTTAGACAGCAGGCAAAAAAATTTTATTTAGGACGTACAACATCCAAATACTGTTTGAGAATCCATGAAGACAATGTTACTGTTTTGAACTCTTTAATTCACAGTATTTAAAAATGTCCATTATTAGAATATAGTGCCCAACTGATATAAATGCAAAATGCACATTATATGCAGCAGAATTTTAACAGTTGTATTAAGTTATCCATCCTCCCAAGATATAGTATCTATAGTATTCTGAAGAGAAAAAGTTTATATTTAATTTGATTGGGAAAAAATAAGGTATTTATGGGTACCACCAAGAGAAACGGGATGAAACAACAAGGTATTCAGCTTCCTTCCTTATCTTAGGCATGATGTGAGTCCAGAAAATTCTCAGTAGGCAACGAAACACAAATTTAGGGAGCAGGGAAGCCTTGTATTTAATGAATATTAATTCAACAAAATTAAGCAGGCTTAGGCAAACAATAGGACAATGAAAAGGGAGATAAGTTAGGAAGTCACTATAATGACACGTGCAAAGATGAATAGATAGTGGGAATGGAGGAGATGAATACAAGGACATGATGGAGGCAAGACCAAGGTTAAAAGCACAAACCAAAGGTGGACTGAATGACTCAGACAACACTGAAGAGTCACCCCAGAACCAGAGAATAGGGTTGAGGACTAATCCTCATTGAATGTTACTAAATGTGGGATAATTTAGATGTGGGATGAAAGGAATATTTCAAAGATTATATCTGACCCCCGAAAAGTGTTGCAAAAAGTCAGAAGAATAAAGTTAAGTGATTAAGAACGATCATCAAAATTTGACTAGGAGCTTCCCAGTGGCAACTGACTGAAGAATGACTTGGCAGAAATTGGTTGACCAATATGACAAGTTTCATGACCAATATGTCAAGTTTTCAGCAGTTGAATGGCAGAGGAAGACAAAGGGATTTTTGCTAGGATGAGGGGAAGATGAACACGTCTGTAGACTTAAGGTCAAGAGAAGGAGAGAATTTTGGATATTCGATTACTGAACACCAGTAACATGAAAAACAATTCTCTAACAAGTTTGGTGGAATATAGGAAATTTTCTCCAAGAAAGAAAGATTGTATCATTTAAGTCTAATATGAAAAAAAAATTCAGTTCAACTCATCAGATCTCTTTCACACCATATAGCACAGACTGAAAAGTTGAGGATGTTTTTATTTTTACCAAGTTTACCAGGCTGGGTGCAGTGGCTCACACCTATAATTCCAGCACTTTGAGAGGACGAGGTGGGTGGATCACCTGAAGTCAGGAGTTTGAGACCAGACCATCAACATGGTAAAACCCTGTCTCTACTACAAATATAAAAATCAGCTGGGCCTGGTGCCGGACGCCTGTAATCCCAGCTACTTGGGAGGCTAAGGCAGGAGAATCGCTTGAACCAGGGAGGCCGAGGTTGCAGTGAGCTGAGATCGCACCACTGCTCTCCAGCCTGGGCAACAAGAGCGAAACTTCGTCTCAAAGAGAAAAAAAAAAAATCACCTTAAGTAGCAGTGAGTATATGATTCTGTAGAAGTTGACTCCTGGAGCAGTAGAGAGTAAGTATTCAGGATAAATTATCAAATTCTCAATGAACATACACAACCAAGATTATCTGAAAGTAAATTAATATCCACTGAAGAATACAACTGAGACCAGGCGCAGTGGCTCACACTTGTAATCCCAACACTCTGGGAGGCCAAGGCAGGCAGATCACATGTTGGTCAGGCGTTCAAGACCAGGCTGGTCAACATGACGAAACCCGATCTACTAAAAATACAAAAACTGAGGCCGGGCGCAGTGGCTCATGCCTGTAATCCCAGCACTTTGGGAGGCCGAGGCGGGTGGATCACCTGAGGTCAGGAGTTCGAGACCAGCCTGTCCAATATGGTGAAACCCCATCTCTACTAAAAATACAAAAAATTAGCTGGGCATGGTGGCGGGTGCCTGTAATCCCAGCTACTCGGGAGGCCGAGGCAGGAGAATTGCTTGAACTTGGGAGGCGGAGGTTGCAGTGAGCCGAGATCGTCCTACTGCACTCCAGCCTGGGCTACAAAGGGAGACTCCATCAAAAAAAAAAAAAAAAAAAAACTTAGCTGGGCATGGTGGCACACACCTGTAATCACAGCTACTCAGGAAGCTGAGGCATAAGGATCCTATATCAATTGCTTGAACCCAAGAGGCGGAAGTCACAGAGAGCCGAGATCATGCCACTGAACTCCAGCCTGGGCAACAGTGTAAGAATCCATCTCAAACAAACAAGCAAAAAAAAAAAAAAAAAGAACTGAGGCCGGGCATGGTGGCTCATGCCTGTAATCCCAGCACTTTGGGAGGCTGAGGTAGGTAGATCACCTGAGGTCAGGAGTTCAAGACCAACATGGCTGACACAGTGAAACCTCGTCTCTACTAAAATACAAAAACTAGCCGGGCGTGGTGGTGTGCGCCTGTAATTCTAGCTACTTCAGGAGGCTGAGGGAGGAGAACTGCTTAAGCCCAGGAGGCGAGGGCTGCACATGAGCCAAGGTCGCGTCACTCTACTCCAGCCTGGGCGACAGAGTGACACTCGTCTCCAAAAAGAAAAAAGAAAAAAAGAAAATTGAGAAAAATGAGTAAGAAGCCATGTACTGATTAGAAGGTTGGCTGGCATCACATCAACAGAATAAACAGAACATAACTGGGTGCCAGATGCTAAAAGGCATAGCAGGGAAAGGGCCATAGGGACGATTTTTAAATAATGTGGATTGGAAAGAAAAATGGATCACTACTCAAGGGGAATGGGTGTGGGGGATGAACGTCAAGTTAAATCAGATAACATCTGAACCAAGTACTTTTAATCAGATTACCATCTTAGAAATTAAAAAGCATTCATGTTTCAGAGCTTGGAAAATGACAAACACTGTATTTGAGAAGTGGCACTTACCAGGGTATGTTCATAAACATAGTTATCAATAACATTTCCAAGGTTTGTTCCTTCATCCAACAGGCCAACGGAGTAGTTTGCATCATCAATAAATCCTTTCATCTCAGCCGTATTCCACAAAGCCGAAAGTCATAAACCAGGAAAGACAAGAGACGGGCCACCAAGCCTATGTCTGGGTCCTTAGAATATGCAACAAACTGTCAAAATATAAGTTATATAAGTCTGTATTATTCCTATAGACATAATGTACGAGTCAATGAAAGTGTGCTAAGTGCCTAATTTAGTGACGAATGTATACAATCATTTTACAATTTCAGAAACATCAGATTATTAACTTCCTATAACGGGTATTTAAAAAAGCAAATACATGAATTAAAATACATTTACCCAAAAAGGTCAATATAATTTGAAGGGGTAACTCACATACATACACAATATATTACAAGCCTATATGGTCCCCTTATTTACAGAGTTGCAGACCCAATCTGTATCATTATCTTGTTTTGTGCGCCTGTAACACACTTAATTTTACCCATTTTAAGAGTAAAGAAAGCTAGTGAAATAAGTATCTGCAGCCAAGAAATCAAAATACCAGTCTCAACTTCCAATATACTGTCAGCCATGTAATAGCACTGCCAGGTAATTGCAGATAAATGTCTTATAAATAAATAAAAGTCCTGGGCAGGCATGGTGGCCCATGCCTGTAATCCCAGCACTTTGGGAGGCCCAGGCCTGTGGATTGCTTGAGCCTAGGAGTTTGAGACCAGCCTGGACAACATAGCAAGACTCTGTCTCTCCTAAAAAAAAAAAAAAATTCCCAATAGGTGAAAGTAATAAAAATGGGTGAGGGTGGAGGGTGGGAGGGTGGCTTGAGGGAACAATCCGAAGTTTTGATACAGACTGCCTAGGGCTTATCTCAAGCTAAAATAGTACTAGCTACATCAAGTTAGCAATGTTATGAGGTGAGTTGCTTTGGTGAAATCACTGGACTAGGCGTCAGAAGACCTGGTCCTGGCTGTATCATTTAGGAGAATCTACATCAGTTTCTCTAAACCTCAGTTAACTATCTTAGTTATTTATTCAATAGGTTGTTGTAAAAAAAAAAAAATCATAAAGCATATAAATTAAAAACATCTGTTTCAGTGCTGGCTAGAATAGAGCTAAATTAAGTTGTCAATTACCAGAAATGCAAAAACAACATAATTAGAAACTACATTAGTAAGTTAGGTATCTGTACATCCTGAACCAGTTACTAAAAAATCTGATTTTTAAAATGACTTTAGGCTAAATCCTACCCCTCTCCAATCCAATCAATAAAATAAACCTGCCCACTCCCCCAGAGCACGCATTGTCCTGAGGCAGCACATACTGACACATAGGTTTATCTTCTTTGTTGAACTTCACTGGTCCTTAGGTTACTTTAGGAAATAACTTCAACATAAATGAGATAAAAAAGGTCCACCAGACAGGGTACTACTTAATATCTGGTATTAATTTCTGGTTGCCACGTTAATAATGGCACTGACCAGCTGTCTTGCAGCCTGTTTTAAAACCTGCACAGCCTTTCCTGTGTCCTTGATTCCTCCCGCCACCCCCCTCCACCCTCCCCAATGCCCCAAACTAGAGTTCACCCTTGGGTGATGGCCACTCTCCTGAAAGTGTACTCCATTCCAATGGTTCTTAAAAGTGTCAGCATTTTGGCTGCACCAAAAGTCCTTAATAAGCTGTATTAGTCAAATTTCACGAAATACAAATACTCAGTTTTAACTTTTAAAACACTAACAGCTTCATTTCCAAGAAGCTAACTACATTCAGTGCAACTCATCAGATCTCTTTCATGCCATATAGCACAGACTGAAAAGTTGAGGATTTTACCAGATTAATTGAGGCCTATCTGAATAGACCTAATACTTATGCAGTGAAGTTAAATCACAGCCTGCACATTCTCTAAAGGTTGTTATAATAGGACTGCTGTAAATCTGTGCCCAGAAAATAGGGATTTTAGGCTAAGAATACATGTTTATTTTACGCAATTTTTTTTTTTTTTTTTTTGAGACGGTGTCTCACTCTGTCGCCCAGGCCGGAGGGCAGTGGCCGGATCTCAGCACGCTGCAAGCTCTGCCTCCCGGGTTTATGCCATTCTCCTGCCTCAGCCTCCCCAGTAGCTGGGACTACAGGCACCCGCCACCTCGCCCGGCTAGTTTTTTTGTATTTTTTTTTTTTAGTAGAGATGGGGTTTCACCGTGTTAGCCTGTATAGTTTCGATCTCCTGATCTTGTGATCCGCCCGTCTCGGCCTCCCAAAGTGCTGGGATTACAGGCTTGAGCCACCGCGCCCGGCCTATTTTATGCAATTTAAAGCACCAATTTTGGGGGGATATTCAACTGAGTACTAAGAACAATGAAAAAATAAAGGTCACTCATTTAAAAAGATAAATACAAGAAAATAAGGTAAAAACCTCCTGTTAAGTTTAGCATCACTAACCTTTTTGGCATAGCAGCCAGTTTTCATTTATCCTACTATTAATAAATGAAAAATTACATAATCAAGACTTTTGGCCTAAATAGAATACTTTGAAATGAAAATAAAATAAATAGTGTCCTCACTTTATGTCAACAGCTTCTTGCAAACTGCATCTTTTAAGTAAAAGAGGTAAAACGAAATCATTTTTTTTCTTAACATTATAATGAAATGTTATTTGAGAGCTTGCTGTACATCTTTTTGCTTAAATTCGCAGTTTCCAAGAACCTACTGATGATGTTCAGTGAGGACTTAATTGTATCTCAGTTGCTAAGTCTCTGATCATAGTCTAATATATACGTAGTATTTAGTATTTACTTGAAAACCTTTGGTTACTGATTATAGACCACAACACGCAACTGCTGCCAAATACAGAAGGCCTAGCTTTTAAGTCAGGATAAGATAAACCTCGATTTCCTACAACCATAGTATTCTTAGGAAGGATAATTTTCCTTTAACAGTCAGGATCCTCAGTACTTACAAAAACATCAGGTCCACTGGATAAAGTCTTACTGACTCCCTACATTCTCCAGAGCTTCTGCTAGAGTAGTATGATGATATGGATAAAGATATTTTTTCCCAAATATTTTCAAACCATGTAATTTCATAGGTTCAACTCTGACTGCCTGCTAAGCTAGCTTAAATCTAACAGTAAACATGTTTATAGCAGTCTCCCAGCCTAAGTATTTCATCTATTCAATATCAATTCTCCTAACCCTTAAAACCACAATGATGGTATTATCTCCATTTATATACTGAGGAATGGAATAACTAAGTAGGTTAGCTCTAGAGCTACTAATGATCAAACAATATGAAAACATTTAAAACAATATGAAAACACTGCTTCCCCAACACCCCATCCCTATAAAACACAGGACTTCTTTTTTTGGGGAAATCCAACACAGTTCTCTGTCTCTTTAAAAGAACTTTAACATATCCACATAATCAACTAACCCCTTTCAGACATATGAACACCCATACTTGTTCAAAAATGCTAAGTTTATTCACACTGGTATGAAAACACACTGGTATGAAAACATTATCACGCCTACTCATAGCCTTTCTTCATATGATGTTCCTTTTGCAGCAAATCCTCAACTCCACCCCAGGCAACCACTGACCAACTTCTTGTCACTATAAATCAGACTTTTATAGAAGCTAAATAATTTTAAACATCAACTGAAGGCTAAACCAAAACAGTTGACATATAGTGGCATTATCAATATAAATAAAAATAGTAAAAAACATGACCTCCTCTAAAGGAAAGATAAAATGTTTGTGGAGTTCGCTATTCATCTTTGAAATGGAACTGTCACTTCAGAAGTAACAGCAGAGTTGTTAACCAAGTCCCAGCTGAGTGACAAAATCATTCTGTTGGAAAAACGAAATAAAATTCATTTGCTATACTGGCAGTACTTGACAAAATGGATTAAGGATCACCTGAATCCACATATGCAGTACATTAACATTTGTTTTCTTTCGTTATACAGAGAACTACAATAAAGTAGTTGATTGAACCCAATACTTTGGGAAGCTGAGGCAGGATTTTGTGAGGCCAGAAGTTTGAGATCAGCCTGAGCAACATAGGGGAGACCCCATCTCTTAAAAACAAAACAAACAAACAAAAAAACCAATAAAGCTCTAATGGAGGTTTATTTTCTTTGATGCTCTCTTGAAGGCTTTGAGATTTCTGTAAATTCCTAGCCCAGAGTAGGTACTCAGAAACAAATGGACAAAAGACTTCACAACAAAGAGTGGGGAGTTCTTAAACTTACGGGTGGTGGTAATGAACCCCTGGAAGTGTACTGAAAAAGTAGGTACATTTTTCCTTTTTTTTTTTTTTTTTTGAGAAAAGGTCTCACTCTTGTCACCCAGACTGGAGTGCAGTGGCATGATCAAAGCCCACTGAAGCCTCAACCACTCAGGCGATCCTACCACAGCCTTCAATCCCACCTCCACTCAGTCAGTCCCTGTAGCTGGGACTACAGAACATGCCACCATGTCCAGCTAATTTTTTTATTTTTTGTAGAGAACTCTTTGTTCATAGTGTCTCATTATGTTGCCCCAGACTGGTCTCAAGCTCCTGGCCTCAAGCAATCCTCCCACCGCGGCCTCCCAAAGTATTGTAATTACTGGCTTGAGCCACTCTGTCCAGCTCCTTCACATTCTTAAAAGAAGCCCGTAACTTTGATATGCAAGCAATCCAGATGTACAGTCATGCGTTGCATAATGTTTTTGACAAGGACAGATCAAATACATGAAGGTGGTCTCATAATACCATATTTTTACTATACCTTTTCTGTGTTTAGATACACAGATACTTACCACTGTGTTAAACTGTCAACAGTATTCAGTACCACTACACAGGATGGTAGCCTAGGAGCAGTAAGCTACACCATACAGCTTGGGTGTGTCGTAGGCTGTACTATCTAGGTTTCTGTACGTACACTATGATGTTCAAACAACCTATGAAATGTCACCTAAAGACACATTTCTCAGAATGTATCTCTGTCATTAAGCTACCCATGCCTGTGAATGCAAAGCTCAACTATCAGCTACTGTTAAAGACCAAAAGGCCAAAAAAAAGCCAATTCCTCAAAAGAATTTGTAAAACACAAACACCTCCAGCAACAAGTTTTCTTTTTTTTGTTTGTCCTCTTTATGGAGAATGGGGTCTCACTACATTGGCCAGGCTAGTCTCTAATTCTTGGGCTCAAGCTATCCTCCCGTCTCTGCCTCTCTTAAGAGCTGATATTACAAGTGTGAGCCACTATGACTAGTCAAATTTTCTAATACATCTTGAGGCAACGAACTCTTTGTTCAAATGAAATGCCACTTGGAAACCCAATATTTCCAGCTGAAAAGGGATAAGTAGGTGGGTGAGGTAGGCAGCTTGAGTCTTCCCTATGTTGTGCCCCAATCTCACTGAAAGCCCTAAAAAAGCAGCTCAAATCATACCTCTGGGATCACTGCTTGCAGTTTTCTTAATACATTAGCAAAAATAGTTTACAGTTCCATTGTTACAAAAAGAAAGGTTTATGTTCTTACATTTATGCCTTACTGAAAGCACTAAGAAATATTCTGCCAAAACATTTTCAGGAGGTATTAAAGTTAATTGGTGACAATGTTAAACCAAAAATCTTAGACGCTGCATGTTCTAGGGAGCAAGCATGAAAATAAGTGTGCATGTGTTGGGGGTGAGCAATTTATACCTTATGCCAGGTTCATTAAGTTAATCTACCTCAGAACACCACAGGGGGCTGGGAGCAGAGTAATCCCAACACTTTGGGAGGCCAAGGCAGGCGGATCACGAGGTCCAGAGATCAAGACCATTCCGGTCAACATGGTGAAACCCATCTCTACTAAAAATACAAAAATTAGCTAGGCATGGTGGCACACACCTGTAGTCCCAGCTACTCAGGAGGATGAGGCAGGAGAATCGCTTGAACCCAGGAGGTGGAGGTTACAGTGAGCCGAGATTGTGCCACGGCACTCCAGCCTAGCGACAGAGCGAGACCCCGTCTCAAAACAAAAACAAAAACACCCCCACAGGGACTCTTTCCAGGATGTCTCCATACTCTCCACTAAGAATGCAGACTCAAACCAAGGTGATACGTCAAAGATCTCCCTGCAATTCTGAGTGGAAATAATTCTCAAAAGAAACTGTACCACTTCTTCTGGCTTACATATCAGAAACAGGACTGATTTACTGGCTCCAACACATTCTGGTGCTATTGGACCTTGAATTAGTTATATTAAATTTGAAAAAAAAATCTACTCCATGTAAATCTTAGATTCTCTTCATTAGAAGTGAACAGCAAATCTATTTTTAATAAAAGCTCTGATGTCTAGTATTATCAATAGACACTAGAAAGTATTCTCTACTCACAAGCACTTTTAAGCTATTTTCAACCACCTTTTTAACATAAGGTTGAGAAAGCTCAGGTTATTTTACACTAATACAGTAGCGTATAACCATAATACTACTTTTATTAATAATTTCCTCTTAGACTCATAACTGAGAAGAAAAAATACGTAACATTCCTTATTCACACCTTCATATTGGTGTTTTTGTTAATACATTTTTCCATGAAGAGCTGCCAAAAGAAACAAAAGGCTCCAAAGAACCACACACTGCTCCCTGGAGCCTTTCATGAGGCCGCTGAGTCCTCATGTTCATCGACAGGGTAGCTCCAAGAGCAGCGGCTGCAGCAGCTGGGCACTTGCCTTGTTACACACCTGCTACAAAGGCTTCTACAGTTGATTGTACTTCAGAAGAAACTGATACATCTCTCAAATAATCACAAGATAATTCTGGCAGCAACAGCCCACTTGACACCAAGCTGGATGAATATGAGTCTTGGATTTCTGAAGTGAAGACCTCCCTGGAAGTAGAACAGGGAGAGCTGAAAGGTTGAGAATACTGTTTCAGAGATACCTAAGCAGGAAACCCAACCTTAATACATCAACCATTTTTCTAAAAGGATTTTTACTCATTAAAAATGAGAAAAGATATTCTGAAATTTATACTATTACTGTTACTCTGAAGATGCCTAAGTGCATTTCTACTTTTATTTTTACATAGGCATTTGATGATTCAGCACCCAGCTCACAGCTTTAAAAATACACAATGTTGCTTAAGTCCCCTCTGCATTCTACCTACAACAAAAAATGTTACTTACCACATAGAATACCTTTAAAAGTAATTGACCAGAAGAGCACTAGAAACTTCTAAAGAATGACTCTGGTACTATAGATGTGAGACCTTGAGTAGGTCTGAATCACTACAAAAGAATTCCAGGAAGCTACATACTGAAACTGGTAGGAAATCCTATAAACTGAGCGATCATAAGATCAGGTAAACTTCTGCCACCCTGGACCCCAAAATAAGTGATAGACAATAACAGCCTACATCAAGTACTTAGGATAAATCAGGACAAGGCTTGCTTCAATAAGAAAGTCAGTAATCACAATGCATACCCCTAAAAATTATTTTTCAGGTGATGAGGTTGAAAAAACCGAGTAACCCTAGAGGAAGAAAACTAAAGGTGACAGATAAAGAATTCTTTTAAAAGAGAGGAACAAGAATGAATTGGAAATAATCAAGGGGGCAAAAAATCCTAAAGGTTATAAGCCCAACAGGCTAAGTTTGAAGTGCCTGTGTAAAGACTGCCCAATGAACTGCCTCACCATAAATATTAAAATGTAGCTTAATGAGAAAACGAAATACACAATTCTCACAGCAATATTATTTTTGCATGTGGAATTAACACAATTAGACTCCCTTAAAAATGATGTCTTGACTATTCAGTATGAAGACTAAATTTGTTTTTCTGGAGAAAATGTGTGTGTACTAAAGTGTGTGTGTACCTGCACACGAGTGAAGTATTTACAACCCTTTGGGCAATTAAGATGTGATAACATTAAAGATGACTATTACAGTACAACATGAAGTACACAATCATTTTAATTTCGTTTTCTAGCTTTCCTGGTTACAATTAAGCATAGGGAATAATCCTTTAAAGAGACACACTATTTTGGTAACTTTCAGGCAGAGCTCATTGCCTGCCTTAAAACATACAGAATACATGTGCAATACAGTAACTGCAACCAAGACCAAGTTAAGCAGGTTGTTAAGAAATAAGATGCTGGCTGGGCATGGTGGCTCATGCCTATAATCCCAGCACTTAGGGAGGCTGAGGCGGGTGGATCACGAGGTCAGGAGTTCGAGACCAGCCTGGCCAAGATGGTGAAACCACAAATAATGGTGAAATTATTTGTAAATTTTGTATTTTGTAATTACTACAGGCGCAGTGGCGGGCACCTGTAATCCCAGCTACTCAGGAGGCTGAGGCAGGAGAATCGCTTGAACCCGGGAGGCAGAGGTTGCAGTGAGCCAAGATTACACCACCACACTCTAGCCTGGGTGACAGAGCAAGATTGTCTGAAAAAAAAAAAAAGAAGAAAAGCAAGAAATAAGATGCAATACTTCAGAGGCCCCTGTACATCTCTCCCAGGTGGTGGTGGGTACATCTCCCTTAGAATTTATTTAGACCTTCTCTAACCATCATTCCTTTGTTACTTAATAGTTTTATTCTTCTATGCAACCCTAAAACAGTGTTGGGCAGTATGGTACTTTACATTCTGGTACTAGAGTCCTTATTCCACTGACTGGCAGTTTAAGTAGCACTGATCCAGGGACTACAGTCTATACCTGGGACTGGAACTGCTAAATTGTTAGTGGCAAACAGCTTTCAAGTTTTTTGCTCATTTTCTTGTTTTTGCCTTTTATTATCTGAAGGAGCTCTTCATGAATTAAGGATAGCAAACTTCTCATTAGGAGGATTATTTTGAGGAGGATTGTTTTGTCGGAATTTCCATGTTGAACATACCAGGATAACCCCATCCTACCTTTGGTCATGCCAAATATAACATGTTCATGCTGAACCTACATGAGCTAAGAAAATACCAAACTTGTTTGGGAGATCTTTGCAAACTGGGCATCAGAGGATCCATGCAGTAAAGAGCAAGAAGCAGATAAAAAGTGATCTGAAGTCAACATAAAGCTCATACTGCCAACCACAGTGGCTAACCCCTGTAATCTCAGCACTTTGGGAGGCCGAGGAGGACAGATCACCTGAGGTCCGGAGTTCGAGACCAGCCTGACCAACATGGCGAAACCCTGTCTCTACTAAAAATACAAAATTAGCTGGGCATGGTGGTGTGCGCCTGTAATCCCAGCTACTTGGGAGGCTGAGGCAGAAGAATCACTTGAACTAAGGAGGCAAAGGTTGCAGTGAGCCGAGATTGCACCATTGCACTCCAGCCTGGACAACAAAAACAAAACTCCATCTCAAAAAAAAATAGTAAAAAAAAAAAAAATTAGTAGGGCGTGGTGGCATGCACACCATGGCTGGACCTCATGATGGCTGGCTATGGCCTAGGCAGGTTGAACCTGACTATCCTAAACCCTGTAACCCAGTATGCTATACATTATTTTCTACTCATGCGTAATGTAAAGAACAATGGATTATCAAAAAGGATAGCTAAATATCTGCTTTAGTTAACTTGTGACAAATCTGATGATTTGACTGGGCATGGATGACCCTGGAATGGAGGAAGGACAAAATATCTGTGCTCCCTGGGGCCTTATCAGTATATAAGCACTTCACTTGGAAGAGTCTCCTTAGGCTTACCTGAACAATGGGCAGTCTAGAACAGTAACCTACCATATACTAGATTTTACAGTTTACAAGCCCTTCTCATATATGCAATATCTCATTTATTCTAATGGAAGATGAATATCGCAAAAGGGATTGGTTTACCTGGGGCTGGGGTGGGGTATGGGGAGACCCAAACTGGAAAACTCTGAAACAGGCTGGGTGAAGACTGTGATGGAACACACAAATTGGTATTAATTTTCTCAGCTAAACTAACCTCTGTAATAAATGCAAAAGCCATTTATCCCCTTTAAAAACTGGTCTATGGCCGGGCGCGGTGATGCATGCCTGTAATCCCAGAACTTTGGGAGGCCAAGGAAGGCGGGTCATAAGGTCAGGAGTTCGAGACAAGTCTGACCAACATGGTGAAACTCTGTCTCTACTAAAAATACAAAATTAGCTGAGCATGGTGGCGCATGCCTGTAATACCAGCTACCCATGAGGCTGAGGCAGGAGAATCGATGGAACCCAGGAGGTGGAGGTTGCAGTGCGCTGAAATTGCGCCACTGCACTCTAGCCTGGGCAACAAGAGCGAAACTCCATCTCAAAAAAGAAAGAAAAAACTGGTCTACATTGCTTTCCAATCTTTTTGACCTTCCTAAAAAAAAAATGCTATATTTGCTCAAAGCAAGAAATACCAAGTCTCTAAAACTTTGTTTATCCATTAATATGCTAGTATTCACATTCTGCTTTTACAGAATATTTTTTTGCTACTTTACACAAGCACTGACACACCACTGACTCTACTTTACGCATGCCAAGGGGATAAACAGACTGTATTTCAACGATAGTGGTTTTACTCATCTTTTTGGTCAAAGAGTATCAACTGCCATTAATGAATGTTCTGTTAAATTTACTCATATCACAGTATCCTTAAAGTATCAAATATCATCTGTGAGAAATTAAATGGGAGGGGGGGAAGAGAAGAAAAAAAAAAGTACCAAATATCAAAACTAAAATTTTCCCCTTTCTCTGCAGTCAGGGTCAACAACCTCCCTTTTTCTTTGAAACAGTCTTGCTCTGTCTCCTAGGCTGCAGGGCAGTAGTGCCATCTCAGCTCACTGCAACCTCCGCCTCCCGGGTTCAAGCAGGCCACAGCCTCCCTAGTAGCTGGGATTACAGGTGTGCACCACCATGCCCGACTAATTTTTGCATTTTTAGTAGAGACAGGATTTCGCCATGCTGGCCAGGCTGGTCTCAAACTCCTGACTTCAGATGATCCATCAGCCTCGGCCTCCCAAAGTGCTGGGATTACAGGCATGCGGCACCGCACCCAGCGATAACCTCCCTTTTCTACTGACAATTTACAGTGAAACATGAGGAAGGAGTACTAGCAAATTAATAAAGAACATCTTTCCAGCCAGGTGCAGTGGCTCACGCCTATAATCCCAGCACTTTCGGAGGCGAGGGGGGAGGGAGGAGGATCACCGGTCTGGAGTTCAAGACCAGCCTGGCCACATGGTGAAACTCATCTCTACAAAAATACAAAATTTAGCCGGCCATAATGGTGGGTCCCTGTAATCCCAGCTATTCTGGAGGCTGAGGTGGAAGAATCACTTGAACCGGGGAGGCAGAGGTTGCAGTGAGCCAATATCGCACCACTGCACTCCAGCCTGGGCGACACAGGGAGACTCCTTCTCAAAAAAAAAAAAAACAAAAAAAAACACACCACCTTTCCTAGTTAAAATAATCCTAATTAGGTAGGGAGCTCCTACTAAGGCATGTGTACATACTAGCAGACAAAATGTGAATATTTAAAATACTGATGTTCTTCTGAAGTTCCTACATGAATATATAGAGTTGACTAATCACAACCACGTAAAAAAAAATTTTTAGAGTCCATTTAAGCAAATCAATTAACTGAATCCCTTTTCCACACTGCACAACATTAAAGAGTATGTGATAATGGTTAATTCAATCTGACCTCATCACTGGATCAACTATGAGAAGCAAACTTAGCTTTCCACGTTTTAAAATATTTTCCATTAGGCTAATTCATTAATTATAATTGAACCTACAACCAAAATAAATAGAAAACTAGTCCACGGAAAACCTTTACTCCAGCATCAAGACCTAGGGGATTTCCTTTTTTTTTTTTTTTTTGAGACAGAGTTTTGCTCTTGTAGCCCAGGCTGAAGTGCAATGGCATGACCTCGGCTCAATGGAACCTCCACCTCCCGGATTCAAGCGACCCTCCTGCCTCAGCCTCCCAAGTAGTTGGGATTACAGGTGCCTGCCACGACGCTCGGCTAATTTTGTGTTTTTTTAGTAGAGATGGGGTTTCAACATGTTGTCCAAGCTGGTCTTGAACTCCTGACCTCAGGTAATTCATCGCACCTGGCCTAGGGGATTTCTTAAAAGGCTCGCAAAAACTTTTTCACAATTAGGGGCCCATTAATCTTTGATACTGACCTTAAAATATTTTGTTAAGATATTTTTACAGTGCTCACATACTACATCATACACACATTCTAAGTTATGAAAGAAAAGGATTATGTAAGCAACTTCCAAAGTTTCCAGACACTTAATGGAATTAACTATCTCAAAATTCAGGTGGTTGATTTAAAACCTAACTCTGAAGCCAATTCTGGATTCTCAGACTACCTGCACTGGAATCCTAGTGGACCAGTTCAAGTAGAGTTCATATAGCTACATGCTTTGCAATGCTATGGGCCAAATAATTTCCATGAAGGCGGTTTTAACTCCTTTTAATGGTTTCCAAATAATATTGTTGATCTACAGAAAATTAACGCCAGGATTTTGGTGTCCAATAGAGCAAACTGTTACTGATTTGTAAGGATAAACACATTCCTGGAATGCGGAATTTTCTCTTGCCAATTTTACAAATTCTAGTCAAGAAACTTTTGGGGCCAGGTATCTTTGTGAATTCAGAATTCTCCAGATTTTTGAACAATAAGGTAGTACACATACTTTACATATGTTATGTAATACTCTTCAGGAGAATGAGTCAGCACCCTGCAACCACAATATTTCTGCAGCAAAATTTAGGAATATTAACACTAAACGGGATAAGTAAAGACAAAAATAGCCTCAAATCAGCACAGATTCAGGTCAAGCTTTTTTTTTTCCCCCCGAAATCAGTTAAGGTTACATTAAGGAAGCTATAAAAAAAATTATTTTTAAGACTTTTTGGATTTCAGAATGCTATGAAAAAGGGATTGTGTACCTGTAGCTTTATAGCAAAGCATCAAATATGAGACATGCAAAATTAGAAGATTACCTGTGAACATTTAAACAAGTTATATTTGCTTGACATAATATACACTGTACCTGGGCATAATAAAGTTAAGTCAGTCACTCTGGCTGCCAGAACCTGCAGAATAAATAATCTTTAGCTTCTATCTGCTCCCATTCCTTCTACCCAAAAAGGAGGAGACACTACAGACTTTCTGAATCCTATATTATTAATCTAAAGACTACTTTTCCCTGATTTTGCAGAATCATTCAGCTCACTGACAACTGTCTCTCAAGTTTCTAAGAGGAAACACCAGTAGAAGTATTAAATATAATGCAAGGTAACTTTTCTTTAAAGCAAGAGACTTGAATTAAAAGAAGGATTATCTTTTATTATGGTCTTCCTCAAAAGATGAAGCTTGTTCTTAAATTTCTGCCTTGGAACCAATTCACGACTATGATGGTAACTAACAGATCGCACCACCCAAAAAAGTTTTAAATCTCCAAGCCAACTTGGGAGAAAAACAGCAGGTATGTTGCAAACAGAACAGATGGACTAACAAAAATTAGGCAACTGACTTAGTACTGAAATGGCGATGACCCCGCTTCTCTTTAATATGCACACAAGCCACCTGGATATAGACTCTGATTCAGGTTTGGGTGAGATTGAGATTCTGTATTTCTGTTCTAGGTAAGGATGCTCATGCAATTCATCCGAAGACTACACTGCATAACCAAGGACAGTAATACTCAAAAAAGAAATTATGACAGTTTAAGACAAAAAGAACTGTTCCAATCCAACATTATGTTATAGCTGGGATTCAAAACACAGGCATTTGCTCAAATTTACACAGGTAGGAGAGAGCCAGTATGGGAAACCCTCTAGTCAACATTCTAAGTCAAAGCTTTCAAGAAATCTTACTATTTAAACTATGTTTCTTTCTCTTTAGCCTTAAAAATCTAATTTGTATTAACATCAAATGTTTGCTTTAACATACTCTAATTAGAGCAAACATTTTTATCCAATAGGGATCTGTTTAACAAGATCAGATTAAAGAAACACTAAAACTGATACCCTCAGCTTTCCTGAAAACTTACCTCCAAGTCTCTGACTAAACTTAAAAACGCTTAAATTTTAATACCAAAATCCAAATTTCCGTAAAAGTCTATACACCACAGAATTTATGAACCTACACAAATCTAGCAGCCCAAATTTAGTTTACTGTGGAATTACATTTTGCACAGGGGCTCAATTCTAAAGTAAAATCCACACATAGAAAAGCAAGTATAGTTAAAAACTATCCTTGAAAATCTTTTTTAAATAGATACATATAAATATATTTATATATATCTAAATATTTATTTTAATACCATATATATTTAGATATATATAAAAATTTAGATATATATGTAGCTGTCATCTTTCAGCAAGTCCTCTAAAAACAATCTGTTTTCCCTACCAGTTGAGTAGCAGAAATCATTTCACTAAATGGTTGAATGATGTAATAAACTACAACTTAAATCCCAAAAGCCCTCTTCAACTTATATTTTCTAAGTTATGCATTCAAGATAAAGTTTTAAACGATCCAGTCATTGATAAACAATGCACATAACTAAAGCAGTCAAGTCTGTGAACAGTAACTGTCATATCTCTATTTCAGAAATTTAAAAGTCACTACACTTTAAGAGGTAAATACAATTGCAAATTCTGAAAAATACTAAGCAAGGCAGCACTCTTCCTTAGATTTTAAAGACCTCCTCCCCCACCAACAAATGCAAATACTTACATGGACAAGTTGGGAGATGGAACCCCCCTATCATCAGCTAGGTTCCCAAGGTGGCTCAGCGTTGAAGTCGAACTGCTCTCTATACAGCACTTCTCCTAGGCCCTCTGGGTAGTTGTATACTTGGTCAGAAAGTTCGCCCTAAAAGAAGAAAATAGAAGTAGCAGAAGACAGTCCTATGTTAAAAAAAAGTTTAGGCTGACTTAAACATAAACTGTAGAATACATGCTCCTTTAATAACAATGTTTCATTAAAGTCACATTACACAAATGATGTTTTCAAAGGGTTTACCCCAGTACCAAGTACTTTATGTAGTAAACATTTCCAAGCTGCTGTACTATTAAAAATTAACAGAACTCGATGTCATGGCCATCTTACCAAGTTGTTTTATCTGCCAACTCATAAGTTACCAACCTTCATTTTTGAAAATGAAAACTTCATTTGTGCTTTTATTTGTCCTCTAAAACTCCACATTTTTAAGTGACCCAGAATTTAAAAAATTCCAAGTACCCCCACCAATCTAATGTATATGCAAGACTTTATATGAATAATGTACTAGCATGATGTAATAGTTTGGAACCACCCGGAACACTCTTTTACTCCTCAAATAACTTCTTTGCCTTTTACATTTTAAGTGTAAAATTCCACCACAATACCAAAAGATTTTAACTTAGCTAATGCATTATATATGTATCTAACTTTTGAGAAACATAAAATAACTTGAGAACTACCTTATAATATTAAGCAACTAATCTCTTAAGATTTATCTCCTCATATCTAACTTACTTAAGACATAATTCATTCTATTATCACCAGCAGCAAATAAATGTGATAAGTGCACAGCACACTATATAACATGCTAGGTGAGTTTTAGACATTGTTATCACTCATCACCTCTAAGCTAAAATGATATACCTATGTTTCTATTTGTAATTCAGTGGTTACTGTTTTAAAGTAATATAATCTGATGGTATTTGCTAGAAAGGGGTGGTAAGAAGGAAGCCAGAAAACCAGAAATTATAAAGTCAAGAGTTGGAGGGATTTCAGAAGCACTGAAGGCATACCTAAAGTGTATCTCACCAGGATCAAGGCACTCCTGGTGGAGGCAAAATGTTTCATCTATCTAGAAGGAGAAACTGATCACATGCTCAATGAATAACATTTATGGATAATGAGGAAAGAACTCCTACAAACATGCAATGATGATAATAATCTTACATTAGATTCCAAATAATGTACTACTCCATAACAAACATTCTGATTCTTTCAACACCGACATAATTTTTTAAATAAATAAAAAGTTGAGTCATGATGGGGACAGATCATTCTCAATTATCCTAAGGAATAGGATCAGATACCCTGGGTGAGACATTATTCATCTTTTCCTCAATACATATATCCACAGCTATTTTGCTGCTTAATGCAACCCAAGAGCAATGATGTGAAACATTAAGGACACTAAATGTCAGACATTCCAGAATGTTCCTCAGTGAGAACCCTACATTTCCATTTAACAAAAAGATACTAGTAGGGAATGAAGGCTCTAGAATTTGAAAGGCATTATTTAAATAGAAAAAATAAGGCTAGACGCAGTGGCTCTGAGCCAGCGGATCACTTGAGGCCAGAAGTTCAAGACCAGTCTGGTCAACATGGTGAAATCCCATCTTCTACTAAAAATACAAAAATCAGCTGGGCGTGGTGGTGCACACCTGTAATCCCAGCTACTCAGGAGGCTGAGGCACGAGAACCGCTTGAACTCAAGAGGCGGAGGTTGCAGTGAGATTGTGCCACTGTACTTCAGCCCAGGCAACAGAGGGAGACCCTGTCTCCAAAAAGAGAAAACAAAAAAGAAGAGAAGAAAAGATGAGCCAGGTGTGGCAGTATGCACCTATAGTCTCAGCTACTGAGGAGGCTAAGGCAGGAGGACTGCTTTGAGCCCAAGAGTTTGAGTCCAGCCTGGGCAATACAGCAAGACCCTGTCTATTGAAAAAGTGCATAGGATAAGCACATTAAGATAAACATACAGGATAGATAAGCCCTTCTTATAAGCATTTACATACAGGATAGATAGAATGTTTATCCTGACAGGATAAAAAAGCAAGAAGAAGGAGTTGTTAAATGGAAATGCAGAAAAAAGGCAGTATGGAAAAAAATAAATTATTTTCACTTAGAATGGTGTATGTAAACACTGCAGATTCTCCAACAACACCTTAGAGAATAGCACAGAGAGGGCTCAGTTGGTCAGTAAGATACAAGAAGCATTTTATGTAATTTTTTAAAATTTTATTTTCTTAAAGAATAGAAACGGGGTCTCACCATGTTACTCAAGTTGGTCTTGAATTCCTGAGCTCAAGTGATCCACCCGCATCAGCCTTCCGAAGTGCTGGGATTACAGGTGCAAACCACCGTGCCCAACTACAAAAACTTCCTATCACTTTGACAGTAACTATTCCAAACTTAGTATCTTAAATCAGTATGTCTCTGAAAAACAATGCCTTTACCAATGATTTTTAAAATTGTTCTGTGGTATTCTTTATAAAAACCCCAAACCCCAGTTTAATCATGAGAAAAACATCAGGTAAACTCCAAGTTTAGGGGAGGGGAGTATTCTACCAGATATCTGACAGTGCTTTTCTAGACTGTGATAGTAATGAAAAACAAGAGAAGACTGAGAAACTGTCACAGACCAAAGGAAACTGGGGAAGACCTGACAACTAAATACAATGTGGTAACCTGGATTCTGGAACAGAAAAAAAGACATTAAAGAAAAACTGGCGAAATCCAAATATAAATCTCGAAAGTAGTTAATAGGGCCAAAGTCAGTTTCTTAGTTTTAACAAAAGTACTGTAATAATGTAAGATGTTTCTAATAACTGGGTGGTAAGTATGCAGAAACTGTATCTCTGCGACTTTGCTGGGCAACTAAAATACTCCAAAATCAAGTTTATTTTATTTATTTATTTTTTGAGATGAAGTCTCCCTCTTGTCCCCCAGGCTGGAGTGCAGTGGCGTGATCTCAACTCACTGCAACCTCCGCCTCCCAGGTTCAAGAGATTCTCCTGCCTCAGCCTCCCGAGGAGCTGGGATTCCAGTCACCTGCCACCACGGCCGGCTAATTTTTGTATTTTCAGTAGAGACGGGGTTTCAGTATATTGGCCAGACTGGTCTCGAACTCCTGACCTCAGGACTCCTGACCTCGATCCATGCGCCCGGCCTAATAAAGATTATTTTAAGAAAACCAACCAAGGGATAGTCACCTAATGGGCTACTACTCAGCAACACAAATAATCTACTGATAAAGACAACAGGGATGAATACTAAAAATGTGCTGAGTTAAAAGAAGCCTTTTACACCAAAGAATGCATACTGTATGATTCCATTCAAGCAGGAATTCTAGAATAGAAGAAAATAATCTATGGGTTAAAAAAAAAAAAAAATTCAAGATCAGTCGGGCGCGGTGGCTCACGCTTGTAATCCCAGCACTTTGGGAGGCCGAGGTGGGTGGAACATGAGGTCAGGAGTTCGAGACCATCCTGGCCAACACAGTGAAACCCCGTCTCTACCAAAAATACAAAAAGTAGCTGGGCGTGGTGGTGGGCGCCTGTAATCCCAGCTACTCGGGAGGCTGAGGCAGGAGAATCGCTTGAACCCGGGAGGCGGAGGTTGCAGCGGGCCGAGATTGTGCCACTGCACTCCAGTCTGGGCGACAGAGCTAGACTCCATCTCAAAAAAAAAAAAAAGATCATGGTTGGCTCTGTGGTGAGTGGGAGAGAATTTGAAAGGACAAGAAAAAACTTTTAAGGGTGACGGCGATGTTCTACATCTTGATAAAAGGTTTAGGTTACACAGCTGTATTTTTCTTAAAGTTTATCAAATTGCATACATAACACTTGTGGGTTTATACTGATGTGAATTTTACCCTCTAAGATTTAAAAAATAGTAAGCGGTACTGAGCTCTATTTAATATGCATATACTAAAGTTGGAGGGGTGAAGTGTTCTGCTGTCTCCAGCTTAGTTTGAAATGCATCAACAAATAAGGCAAAATGTTAATTGCAGAATCTAGGTGGAAGCACAACTCTTTCACCTTCTGTTTGAAAGTGTATGTAATAAAACCTTGGGGGAGAAAGGCACTGACTACTCGACCTCACTTATTACCACCGATAATCAATTTCTTTTGGAGTCTTTCCTACTTAAACTCCTCGGGGCTTATTTCTCTTCATGATCAGCATCTGCACGCTCTAATTTATGTAAAAGAAATTAATCAATAAGGAGGGGCTTTCTAGACAATCATGAGCCATATTTCTGCCAACCCCTGCTATATTTGACGTGCTTTGATGTACTTCTACTTTGTGCTTTGATGTATCTCTACGTTAACCTTTGCTGAGCGCAAGGCAATTCCCCCTCCTTTGAGTCCTTAGATTCCCACCCAGTCTGGGAATTCACGATAGAAACACGACGGGACACAGAACTAATACAACCAAGATGCCACCACAAAATCCAGTTAGATGTGCTGAAACTTGGGGCGGTAAACTGTGTCCTCGACTGTTTCGGGTTTCGGAACCAGCAGCTTAGTCTATGAAACACTCCTTCAGGATAGATACCGTGTAAGTGTTAGAACACGTCACCACCAACAACCGTTGGCAGTCAAGACAGTAGCTGATAAGCCACCCATCTACCAATCTGCCTCTTTCTGCCCAGGAACCGTGGCGCGGACGGAAAAACGAAGCCAGGGTGACTAATCCTCAGGCTCCAGGAGGTGACTGGGGTGAGTGAAGGCGACTTGACCCAATCAGGAACGCCGCAGGGGCGGAGCAGCAGCCCCGAGGCTTCCAGAAGGGGCCAAAGGCCTCTCGCTCGCTACCTGACACCGGGGCTTCTCCGCCGCCAGGCCCCAAGTGGCGTCAACTTTCCTCCACCAGAGGGGGACCGCGCTCCTCGCGCCCCCCAGGAATCCGACTTCCTCCGCAGCTGTCACCAGAGGCCGGCGCGGGGCCCGCCCCGCTCCATTCATAACCAGGACCCCAGCCGTTGCAGCCCACAGCGCCGCCCGCCCGCCCGCCCGCCCGCCGGGCTTCTGGAGGCGAAGGCGGCGGCGGCGCAGCGCGGGGTAGGGGCTGCGGGACCCCGGCCCCTCAGGGTTGCGGCCGGGCCCCCTCCCCGGAAACAGCAATGCACCACGGGAGAGGGGTGGGGGCCGCACGCCGCCAGAGGGGACGGTAACCCCCGGCGGCGAGACCCCCGCGGCGCCCCCACTCGCACACGCCCCCTCGCCCCAACCACTGCGGCTCCGGCTCCGCCGAGCGTCCAGCAGCCGCCCGAAGGTCCCGAGGCGCGGCCCGCCGCCCAGCCCCGCCGCCGCCGCCGGGGGCACAGACAGCCGCCACACATGCCGCCGCCGCCGCCGCCATGTTCGGGACGGCCGGCTGCGGGGACGCCTAAGGGTGGCGGGGCCCAGCCGGAGCCCCCCGGCCGACCCCCGAGGCCAGCCCCGCGTCCTGGCCCCTCCCGCGCTCCTCGGCTCGGTACTCACGTGAGATAACGGCCCAAAGAGTCGGGTAAAGCGTCTTCTCTTTTTCGGCGGAATTTTTAAAGAGGGATGTGGTTACCTTGAGCAGAAATACCCAAGGCGGCCTGGGCCATAGGCTGCGGGAACGACGTGGGGGTAAAAGCGCGGCACCGACACCAGCTGTGCAGCAGTGGCGGCGGCAGCCGAAGGAGAAATAGAACAGCGCAGGCAAAAGAAGAAAGGCGCGGTCTGGGTGGGAAGAGGATTCGGACTCGTAACACCGCAGAGCAGCACAGTGAGAAAGGATGAGACAAGGCAGAGGAGGCGACGGCAGAAGAAAAAAGGAAAAAAAGAAACGCTGCAGCCGCGATCTGAGCCTGAGAGTGTGAGAAGGCGGCGCCAGCGACGCCAGTATTTATATTAGGGGGCGTGGCCTGGTGACATCACAGCCGGCCGGGCAGCCGCGCGAGCGGGGCGGAGCGCGGCTGCCGCCCGGAGAAAAGGCGGGGGGGGGCGGAAGAGGAAGGAGGACTGAGCCTGGGAGAGAGAGGGGAGGGGGTGAGTGCGACCGGGTCATGCAGGTGCAGAGTGGCCGGTCGCTTCCCGCCCTCCCGCCACCCGCAGCTCCCCGGCTGGCGGAGGGCGGCCGCGTGGGTGTGGGCCGGGAGAGGGAGGCGGCTCGCCCGGAGCGCGCCGTCCGCCCGCCCCCCGCCGCCTCTCGGACGCCTGTGCTCACGCTGCGAGGCCCAGTGCATTGTGAGCCCGGTCGGGCTCCACGCTGGCAGCGTATGAGAGCTGTCCTGGGCCGGAGGTGGCGCGACCCCTGTGCGGCCTAGAGTGGGCCTGGGGTAAGCCTGTGTGGGCGCCGCTGCTGAGCCTTCCCGTCGAGGTCCTCCGCTTTGTGAGGCCTGTAGTCCACCCTGGGGACTGTCTTTCCCGGCTGAGGCGCCCGCCCTCGGGGATGCGGTACTCCTTTAGGGAAGCGAGTTCCTCGTTGCCAGAAAGGACCGGCCCAGTGTCCGGGTGTTAAAAAGGGTTGTGATCGCGTGAAAATGTCCTCAGTGCTCGTACGTTGCAATACGGTGCAGTGGAAATTTTTTAAAGGAATATGGCTTTTATGTCTTCATTTTTAAAAGGATTGGTGCAGTCAGTCCCAAGCAGGACCTGCTTTGGAGAGGGGATTACTGATGTTACAAGTGCACATTACTTCAATCACCTAGGTCTCATTTTCGCGGTCGTTTTAATTTTTCTACTTCGCAACAGACTTTTTTTTTTTATTGTGGGTTCTAAGATGATCTATATAGCTTTTAATTTATTTCCATCTTTTTTAGATGCCTTAGCACTAAATGATCGTGATCAGAGACCCCGAGTTCTTTCGTGCTACTACGCTTTGCAACCCAGACACATAGCACAAATGGAGTATGTATTGACACACCCCTCTAAAGTTAAGATCTTTGATATTAAGACTCGGACTTTTCCCCCTTTCATTCTTCTGAACACTTTGTGTACTTTGAGCAGCACTGTGGTTGATTAATAAATCATAAAATGTGAAAGGCAGAAAGCGACCTTCCTAAGTGGAAAAGTAGGATATCTTGCGAGGCTGAATGAAAGAGTTTCGGTAGAATCAGGAGCTGTGGACGCATTCCTGATTTTGTTTTTCCTTATTTTGCTCGGCTGTATCTTGGCTCTGTCTTTCATTTCTTGAAAGTTCTGTTCCATTCAGAACATTTAAAAGCACAGCCAATCACTAGACCCTCTCTGGTGGAGGAAGAAAAACCAGAGATGAATACAACATTTGAAACCTTGCTTACAATCTAGTAGGGGAAATAAGACAGTGATACAAAATAAATTGTTGACTGATACAAATAAAATGCTGCAAGGACCTAGTGGAAGGAAGAGATGATTGCAGCGAAGTGAGAGAAAGGCTGCTGGGGAAAGGTACAGAGTGATTTTGAGAAAAGCCGTTCTAGACGAAGGTGCTTCCTTTTTCACCAAACTCACCTGTTTGGTGATTTTTAGAGTAGATGTTCCAGTGTTCCAGGCAAGGGAAACGTGAGAGAAGGCCCAGAAGTATTTTGAGTAGCCTTTCTGGTTCCAGCATAGGGGAATGGTTGGTTGCAAATGAGATTGAAAGAGTAGATTAGGGTGACATCAAGAAGACATTGGAGGCTGGGCGCGGTGGCTCACACCTGTAATCCCAACACTTTGGTAGGCCGAGGAGGGCGGATTACCTGAGGTTGGAAATTCCAGACCAGCCTGACCAACATGGAGAAACCCCATCTCTACTAAAACTACAAAATTAGCTAGGCGTGGTGGCACATGCCTGTAATCCAGCTACTCAGGAGGCTGAGGCAAGAGAATCGCTAGAACCCGGGAGGCAGAGGTTGCAGTCAGCCAAGATCACACCATTGCACTCTCCAGCCTGGGCAACAAGAGTGAAACTGCGTCTCAAAAAAAAAAAAAAAAAAAATTGGAACTTGGACTTTATTCTGGAACCATATAAACAGGAACATGATATGCTCAAAAATATGTTTTTTAAAAGATAACTCCAGCACCAGTGGATGGGATTGAAAAGAGATAGAAAATTTGGAAGTGAAGGAAACTCATAGCAGTTTTGTGGGGTTTTTTTTTTTTTTTTTTTTTTTTTTAGTACTAAGGGGGCCGGGTGTGGTTGCTCACTTGGTGGCTGAGTGATGGTGTGGTGGCCTAGCACTTTGGGAGGCTGAAGCGGACAGATCACTTGAGGCCAGTAGTTTGAAACCAGCCTGCCCAACATAGCGAAACCCTGTCTGTACTAAAACTACAAAAATGAGGCAGGCGTGCTGGTGCACGCATGTAGTCCCAGCTACACGGGAGGCAGAGGTTGCAGTGAGCTGAGATCGCACTACTGCACTCCAGCCTGGGCAATGGAGATGGACTCTGTCTCAAATAATAATAATAAAAGTACTAAGGGGATTCAGAATGGCACAGAGAGTAGAGATAATCTTGACTTTCAAATGAGATGAGAAGGTGTCAAATGATTTGAGGATATTAAGCTTATCAACAGGGAGAATTCTGGAGCCATAAACAGAGATAGAAATAGAAGGACCCGGCCAAGCGAAGTGGCTCATGCCTGTAATCCCAACACTTTGGGAGGCCGAGGCGGGCGGGTCACGAAGTCAAGAGATGAGACCATCCTGGCCAACATGAAGAAACCCTGTCTCTACTAAAAATACAAAAATTAGCTGGGCGTTGTGGCGGGCGCCTGTAGTTCCAGCTACTTGGGAGGCTGAGGCAGGGGAATGGCGTGAACCCAGGAGGCAGGGCTTGCCGTAAGCGGAGATTACGCCACTGCACTCCAGCCTGGGCAACAGAGTGAGACTCCATCTCAAAAAAAAAAAGGACCCAGTTTGGGGGGATTAAGATGAGGCTGGGATTTTTTGCTTTGTGTATGTGTGTGTGTGCGACAGTGTGTCACTGTCACTCAGGCTGAAGTGGAGAGGCACAGTCTCACTGCTCTCCACCTCCTGGGACCAAATGATCATCCTACCTCAGCCTCTGAGTAGCTGGAACTACTGGTGCACCATCAAGCCCGGCTAATTTTTTGTGAAGACAGGTCTTGCCATGTTGCCCAGGTTGGTTTTGACCTCCTGGACTCAAGTGATCCACATACTTCGGCCTCGCAAAATGCTGGGATTATAGGCATGTGCCACCACACCAGGTCTGAGGCTGCTCTGATATAGAGTTTGAGCTGTTGAAGAAATAGCCAGGTAAAAATGATCCAGAGGCCTCTGAAAATGGGGAGATCTAGAACCCTTTGGGTGTGAATTTGGGAGCCTTTCCTACAGATGATAACTAAGGAATTATTGAGGTATACAAGAAAAGGGTATAAGCACAGGATCTGTAGAATGCCAGAGAGAAAAGACAGCAGCAGAGAAGACCAAGAGGCCAAAGAAAATCACAATAGTGCAATGCTATGCTATTCAAGGAGGAGGGTGCTTATTGCAGAATGGGATGATCAGAGTTGTCATATACTCAAACAGGATGCAAAGGGGATTCTGATTTTGCCAAATGGCAAATCATTGGTAAACTGCAATCTCATATTAAAAAATTTGGGTTTATCAATGCTATAGGAACTATATGCCACAGGAACCTAACTCTTATTTAAATCAATTTGTCTCTGGCAAAATTGGTTTTGTTATGCAATACATGGTTTGACTTAAAGTTACAGTTTCCAAGAACCTATGGATGACATCAGGTGAGGATGTACTGTGTTAAGTAGTATTGTATATAGTAGATTACGGCATTGTAGCATTGTAGTATATTATTGCAGTCTTAACACTTGGGAGTATAATGTGTTTTAGTTCCCTGCCAGCCCACAGAATTATTCAGACGAACCAATAAAATTTTGTTTTGAAATTCAAGGCACATCTCACTTTCTTTTTTTTTTCTCCTGAGAGACACTCACTCTGTTTCCCAGGATGGAGTGCAGTGGCATGATTATAGCTCACTGCAGCCTCCACCTCCTGGGCTCAAGCGATTCTCTCACTTCAACCTCTCGAATAGGTGGGATGACAGGTGTGCACCACCATGCCTATTTTTTTTAAAATTTTTTGTAGACACAGGGTTTCACTATGTTGTCAGAGCTAATCTCGAACTCCTGGGCTCAAGCAGTCCTCCCACTTCAACCTCCCAAAGTGTTGGGATTACAGGTGTGAGCCACCACACCCAGCCTATCTCACCTTCTTGATACTACAAAACCTTCCTCAGTCCCCCTGTTTGTTCTCTTTGCTCCCAAGTGCAATCCCTGTGTGGGCCTGCATAGCTTACACTACTTTCCTCCTCTTGTCAGAGGGAATTTGTGACTAATAAACTGTTGTCGATCTTTAAAGAAAAAAAAAGTTTGGGTTTATATTCCAAAGGCATTGGAAAAGGCTTTAATCATGGAAATGATTTGCATTTTAGAAAAGGTAAGAAAGTGGGGCTGGGAAGGTAAAATACTCTTAAGTTTATGGCAGGCAGAACATATGAGAAGCCATTGTAGTCATTCATGGAGAATAGTAAGGGCCTGGAAAGAATTTTCTCTATAACCTTTAACAGAGTAATTTTAATCAGTAGAGTAGGAGAAACAGGAAGTTGTAAAGGGTTGAGTGAGGAGCTGTTGCAGTCAGTGAATGTTGACTTCTTTTTAGGTAGATGATGCTGGACTAGGGCCTATGCCAACATGATTAGTATTTGTATGTTCAGATTTATAGAATAATCCTAGCTTTACATAAATACAATAGAGCCTTGAAAACTATACTACAGTAGGCCAGGCACAGTGGCTCATGCCTGTAATCCCAGCACTTTGGGAGGCCGAGGCGTTCAAGACCAACCTGACCAACATGGAGAAACCCCGTCTCTACTAAAAATACAAAATTAGCCAGGCGTGGTGGCTTATGCCTATAATCCCAGCTACTCAGGAGGCTGAGACAGGAGAATCACTTGAACCCAGGAGGCGGAGGTTGCAGTGAGCTGAGATGGCGCCATTTCATTCTTAAAGGCAACAAGAGTGATACTCCATCTCAAAAAAAAAAAAAAAAGAAAAGAAAGGAAAAGAAAAGAAAGAAAACTATACTACATTGGAATAGACAACTTAGTATAACTTTAATGGAAGGATAGCTATATAATGAGAATGGCATATTTAACTGTGTTTGGGGTTTTGGTTATTTTGCCAAGTCAGGTTACTCATACACAAATACGCAGGTAGTGCCAACAAAAATATTATTAGAGCCCTAAGATAAAATGATATAATACTGTTCCTACTTAGATCACCTTGGTCCATTGATTCAAACTTATATGCTGTTGTGCCAGTAGATATGAAAGGTTGAATGAATTAGATGATTGATAAGGGTAAGTCACTCAAAATAATAGTTAAGGCTGGGCATGGTGGGTCACGCCTGTAGTCTCAGCACGTTGAAAGGCTAAGGTGGGGGGATCCCTTGAGCCTGATAATTCAAGACCAGCCTGGGCAACATGGTGAAATGCTGTTTGTACAAAAATTACAAAAAGCCAGGCATGGTGGCATGCACCTGTAATCCTAGCTCCTTAGGAGGCTGAGGCAGGAGAATCACGTGAGCCCAGGAGGTCAAGGCTGCAGTGAGCTGGGATCATGCTACTGCACTCCAGCCTAAGTGACAGAGCAAGACCCAGTCTCAAAAAAAAAAAAAAAAAAAAGGTAAACTTAAAATCATCAGCCTATAATAGAAGTCTCATGTAACCACATATATAAAAGTAAAGAGTCTACTGGTAATACAGAGTAAAAATCCCAGTTTATTGAATGCTGTGGTTTGAATGTGTACCTCAAAATGCCTGTGTTGGAAACTTAATCCCCAGTGCAATGTTGTTGGGAGGTGGGGCATCATGAAATGTGATTAGGTCATGAGGGTAGAGTTAATAGATTAATGCCAGAGGGAGTTCCTTATAAGAAGGGGAGTTCAATCTTCTTACTCTCTTTCTCTGTTGTCCTCTCTTTGCTCTTCCACTATGGGATGACCCAGCAAGAAAGACTTCAGCAGATGCTGGCCCCTTGATCTTGGACTTCCCAGCCTTCAGAACAGTGAGCCAATAAATTTCTGTGTATTATAAATTAGCCAGTCTGTGGTATTCTGTTACATCAGCACAAAATGGACTAAGACAATGGGAATGTTTAAAGATAGCTTCCTATACATTTTTATTGCTAAGGTAAATTCCTAGAGTACTCATTATCCTGTAGAAAACCAAAATATACAGGTATTGAATAGTGAAAACATTCACATTTTAAAACATGATATTTTAGCCATCCACTACATCTTTTTGTGCTCCAGTAACCTTTCTAAAAAGCCAACTTGCTTACCAAGAATCTAATACTATGGTATTTATGGTCTAGTAAAAATGTTTCAAATTACATTGCTCAGTACAGAGTTTAGATTATATACTATTCTCTCTTTTAACTAAATAGATGTAAAAAGCCTAACAGATGCTCCTTTATTTGCTGAGTATCTGTTATTAAAATCCTGACCGAGTGCAGTGGCTCACGCCTATAATCCCAGCACTTTGGGAGGCCAAGGTGGGTGGATCATTTGAGGCCAGGAGTTTGAGAGCAGCCTGGCCAACATGGTGTAAACCTCATCTCTACTAAAAACACACATACCAAAAATAAAAAAATTAGCTGTAGTCCCAGCTACTTGGGAGGCTGAGGCACGAGAATCACTTGAAACCCAGAGGCAGAGGTTGCAGTGAGCCAAGACTGTACCACTGCACTCCAGCCTGAGTGGCACAGTGAGACTCTGTCAAAAAAAAAAAAAAAAAAAGAAAACAAACGCAAATCCTTGAAGTAATTTTTTTTCCTTTTAAAAATTTTTTTGGAGGCAGAGTCTTGTGCCTCAGCATCCTGAGTAGCTGGGAGTAGAGGCATGTGCCACCTTGCCTGGTTGATTTTTGTATTTTTATAGAGATGAGGTTTCACCATGTTGACCAGGCTGGTCTTGAACTCCTGACCTCAAGTGATCTGCTCGCCTTGGCCTCCCAAAGTGTTGGGATTACAAGCATGAGCCACTGTGCCAGGCTAGACTTGTAATTTCTTTACCTGGGTTGGCTTTTACCTCAGATGACAAATCATTTTATTTAATTATATTGTTATGTTTAATTCTTTTCACAAAATATAGCACTTAGGTCAGTAGGGTTCTGTGCAGTTCCAGTCTAGAGGTGCCCTGTGTCTCATGTGTCCATGTGAAGAGACTACCAAACAGGCTTTGTGTGAGCAACATGGTTGTTTATTTCACCTGGGTACAGGCGGACTGAGTTCGAAAAGAGAGTCAGCAAAGGGTGGTGGATAATCATTAGTTCTTATAGGTTTTGTGATAGGCGGTGGAGTTAGGAGCAATGTTTTGCGGCACGGGGTAGATCTCACAAAGTACATCCTCAAGGGTGGGGAGAATTACAAAGAACCTTCTTAAGGGTGGGGGAGATTACAAAGTACATTGATCAGTTAGGGTGGGGCAGAAACAAATTACTGGTGGAATGTCATCAGTTAAAGCTATTTTCACTTCTTTTGTGGATTTTCAGTTGCTTCAGGCCATCTGGATGTATATGTGCAGGTCACTGGGGATATGATGGCTTAGCTTGGGCTCAGAGGCCTGATATTCCTGTCTTCTTACATTAATAAGAAAAATAAAACAAAATAGTGGTAAAGTGTTGGGGGGGCGAAAATTTTGGGGAGTGGTATGGAGAGATAATGGAAGATGTTTCTCAGGGCTGCTTCGAGCGGGATTAGGGGTGGCGTGGGAACCTACAGTGGGAGAGATTCAACTGAAGAAAGATTTTAGGGTAAGGGGTGATATTGTGGGGTTGTTAGAAGGAGCATCTGTCGTATAGAATTATTGGTGATGGCCTGGATGCGGTTTTGTATGAATTGAGAAACTAAATGAAAGACACAAGGTCGGAATAAAAGAAGGAGAAAAAGAGGTATTAAAGGACTAAGAATTGGGAGTCCCCAGGATGTCCAATTAGAGAGTGCTCAAGGGGGTTCAATGTTATTGTTTGCTTGGTTGGCGAGTTTTTGGGCTCTATCCTTGAGTTTTTTTTTTATGTTGTCATATACCAGGCCAGATTGATTTAGGTAAAAACAACACTCTTCATTTAAAAATATACAAAGTCGTTTTTTTGTTTGTTTTTTTGTTTTTGTTTTTTTCGCAGTGAGTAAGTCAGGGCCTTGGCAATTTTGGAGGAAAGAGAAATGCAAAGCCAGCAACTGTTTGTTAAGGAAGGATTAGAAACGGCTAGGAGGGAGTGAGATTGATAGTGTGGTGGAGATAGCTGGGGAGAGGTAGAGGGTGGCATAAGAACGGGAACCAGAATAAGAGTGAGTATAAAAGTAAACAATAGGACTTCATCAGGGTGAAAGTATTGGGGGTACCTTGCCACTGAAGATCTTCTATCCACTTCAAGAGAGACTTAAGGGTGGCGATTTGAGGTAAACCCAGGAGCCACTAAATACCAAGAGCCTGAGAAACTGAGGTGGGAAGGCCAAACCAAGGAATTACGTCTGACAGAAGGGAAGAAATGACCACGGTGGCCTTCTCAGACCCTGTGAGAAAGGCCTCTACCTATCCAGTGAAAGTGTCTACCCAGACCAAGAGGTATTTTAGTTTCCTGACTCGGGGCATGTGAGTAAAGTCAGTTTGCCAGTCCTGGGCAGGGGCAAATCCCCGAACTTGATGTGTAGGGAAAGGAGGGGGCCTGAACGATCCCTGAGAAGTAGTAGAATAGCAGATGGAACACTGAGAAGTGATTCCCTTAAGGATAGATTTCCACAATGGAAAGGAAATGAGAAGTTCTAAGAGGCGGGCTAGCGACTTATAACCTACATGGAAGAGGTTATGAAATGACAATAGAATAGAATGGGCCCGTGAGGCTGGAAGGAGATATTTTCCTTGGTCCAAGAACCATTTGCCTTGTGTGGGAAGAGATTGATAGGTGGAGGTTTCAGTGGGAGAGTAGACTGGAGTGACCAAATGAGAAGGAGAAAAACTGCCGTGAGGGACAGAAGTTGGAATGCTAGCTGCTTTTTTTTGATATCAGCATAAGCATTGTCCTGAGCGATGGGATCTGATGCCTTTTGATGGCTCTTGCAGTGAATGGCTCCAGCTTCCTTTGGAAGTAAAGCCGCCTGGAGAAGAGTTTTTATTAAAGAGGCATTAATGATGGAGGACCTTTGCGTAGTGAGGAAACCTCGTTTTGCCTATGTAACAGCATGGTGGTGCAGGATATGGAAGGCATATTTAGAGTCAGTATAAATATTGGCATGTAATTCCTTTGCAAGAGTGAGGGCTTAAGGCAATGAGTTTGGCTTGCTGAGAGGTAGTAGAGGGGGGGCAGAGCAGTAGCCTCAATGATAGATGTGGAAGATACTATAGCATAGCCTGCCTTTGCTAGTGAGTGGGGATTAGGCCTGGTGGAACTGCCATCAATAAATCAAATGTGATCAGGGTAAGGAACAGGAAAGAGGGAAATATGGGGAAATGGGGTGAATGTCAGGTGGATTAGAGAGATACAGTCATGGGGGTCAGGTGTGGTATCCGGAATAATGTGAAATCCAGGCCCGGAACAATTGTGGGAGACTCAACAAAGAGTGAGTGTAGCTGAAGGAGCCAGGGAGCAGAAAGTATATGCATCAGGTGTGAGGAAGAAAATAGATTTTGGAAGTTACGAGAGCTGTAGAGAGTGAGTTGAGCATAGTTTGTGATTTTCAGGGCCTCTAAAAGTATTAGGGCAGCGGCAGCCACTGCATGGAGACATGATGGCCAGCCTAAAACAGTAAGGTCAAGTTGTTTGAACAAAAAGGCTACAGGATGCGGTCCCAGTCCTTGTGTAAGAATTCCGTACTGCACAGCCCTGCACTTCAGCTGTGTGTAATGAAAAGGGTTGGAGTGAGTCAGGGAGAACTAGTGTGAGGGCAGTCTCTAAAGCTGTCAAAGGAGTGGGGAAAGGATTTAGGATCTATGGGGTCAGCTAAGTTTCCTTTTGTGAGTTTATATAATGGTTTTGTTAGGATGGCAAAACCAGCTATCCAAAGGCGGAAGTATCCAACCATTCCTAGGAAGAAAAGGAGTTGTTGTTTTGTAGAAGGCGTTGGTGTTTGAGAGATCAGTCGGACACGATTGGCAGGGAGAGCATGTGTGTTTTCATGAAGAATTATGTCAAGATAGATAACAGATGAGGAAGAAATTTGGGCTTGAATGAAGTAATGGGGGCTGTCCGTGAAGCCTGCGGCAGTACAGCCCAGGTAATTTGCTGAGCCTGATGGGTGTCAGGGTCAGTCCAAGTGAAAGCGAAGAGAGGCTGGGATGAAGGGTGCGAGGAATAGCAAAGAAAGCATGTTTGAGATCCAGAACAGAATAATGGGTTGTGGAGAAGTTGTGGAGAGAGGTATTGAGGATAGAAGAGTACATGGGTTTGGCACCACAGGGTGGATAGGCAAGACAGTTTGGTTGATAAGGTGCAGATCCTGAACTAACCTGTAAGACTTGTCTGGTTTTTGGACAGGTAAAATGGGGGAATTGTAAGAAGAGGTTTTAGGCTCTAAAAGGCCATGCTGTAACAGGCGAGTGATAACAGGCTTTAATCCTTTTAAAGCGTGCTGTGGGATGGGATATTGGCATTGAGCCGGGTAAGGGTGATTAGGTTTTTATGGGATGGTAAGGGGTGCATGATTGGTTGCCAAGAAGGGAGTAGAGGTGTCCTATACTTGTGAATTAAGGTAGGGAGATACAAGGGGAGGATGTGAAGGAGGCTTTGAACTGGGGAAAAGGGCAGCAATGAGGTGTGGCTGTAGCCTAGGAATAGTCAGGGAAGCAGATAATTTAGTTAAAATGTCTCAACCTAATAAGGGAGCTGGGCAGGTGGGGATAACTGAAAAAGAGTGCATAAAAGAATGTTGTCCAAGTTGGCACCAGAGTGGGGGAGTTTTAAGAGGTTTAGAAGCCTGGCCGTCAATACCTACAACAGTTATGTGGGCAAAGGAAACCAGCCCTTGAAAAGAAGGTAATGTGGAGTGGGTAGCCTCCGTATCGATACAGG